CTCGAACTCACAGAGATCCGCCTGGCTCTGCCTCCCGAGTGCTGGGATTAAAGGCGTGCGCCGCCACCGCCCAGCTTAAATTTTATTTTATGTGCATTGTTGTTATGCCTGCATGTCTGTCTGTATGAGGGTGTCAGATCCCCTGGAACTGGAGTTACAGGCAGTTGTGAGCTGCCATGTGGATTCTGGGGATTGAACCCGGGTCCTCTGGAAGAGCAGCCAGTGCTCTTAACCACTGAACCATCTCTTCAGCCCCTTGTTGCCTCTGTTTTAAAAAATAAAAATTGTCTGTAGCCAGAGATGATGGTTTATGCCTATAATTCCAACACTTGGGAAGTGGAAGCAGTTAGATCAGGAGTTCAAGGTCATCCTCAGCTTCATGGAGAATTTCAGGTAAAAACAAAAGTCTCTCAAGTTCTCAAATTTTCAGCTAGAAAGTAGAGCTGACACAGCCAGCCAGCTCCGGGGGTTTGCTGGAAAAGAGAATATGAACAAACCCTAGAATCTCAGTACTCAGGAGGCTGAGGCAGGAGGATTCAAAGTTAGAGGCCAGGCTAGGAAAAAAAAAAAAAAAAAAAAAAACACCTGAAGCTGAGCACAGGAAATGGCAAAGGCCCTGTCCTGGAATGTCACCCTGTAAGTAATGACTGGTGGTTCTGAGAGTGGCTGAGACCAGGATGAGAGGCGCACACTAACTAGGTCACTTCTGTTGCCCGCCCTGGGCTGGGAGCACAGCAAAGCAACATCCTCTGTACACAGCCGAAACTGCTCAGCAGCCACACTCCCGCCCACCCTGGATGTCCTGTTCTGGTCCTGAAGGTCGGGGCAGCCCTCCAGACTGAGTGAAGCCCAATTCCTGAGCGACTCCCAGTGGCTCGTCTCTAGCTGTTCAGTTCCGTATTCTGGCTGCCGATGGTTGTACATGCATGTAACCCAGCACTCAGAGGCTGAGGCAGGGGTGGGGGGGGTGGGGGTGGGGAGTTTGAGACCAGCCTTGCTCCATGAAAAGACCCTCTCCCAAAAAACCAAACAACCAAGCACACCAACAAGAAGAAAACAGCCAACCCTGGCCCTGCTTTGGGCTTATCTCTTCAAAGGAATTTTTTTTTTTATTTTCTCTGCTCCCTATTCCCAGACCAACAGGGATTCTCCTTGGCTTAATTCCTGGAGCACTTATCATCTTGCATTGTGTCCTGCTCCTCTGGTTCCTATTACAACCAACTTAATTTATTCATTCAACAAATATGTATTGAGTATCTGCTCTGTGCCAGCTACTATTGCAGTTACGGCCAATGAGCAAGATCCACTCCCAGGGATGACCCATTCTGGTATGGGAGGTAACCACTAAGCAAACACACAAAGACGCAATAAGTGATGTCATGAGTGAGGAGTGCCTTGAGCAGAACCCAGACTGGGAGAGCAGAATAGCGGGTGGGTTTTGTGTGAGTGGTCAAATCTGACTTAGGGAATGGACAAGGCAAAGTCATTTTGCCAACAATGATAGCTACAAGAACAAGAAGATGGTCAGGATGGCCAGAGGAGAGTGAAGGACAAAGGAACAGGAGATGTGATCGGGGATGGGGAGAAGGGGCTACATATTTAAAGATAGCCCTGGCTAGCCTGGAACTTTCTGTATAGAGCAGGCTTACTTTGAACTTGGCAAAGATCAGCCTGCCTCTACCTCCCGAGTGCTGGGATTAAAGGCATTACAAAACATACACATTTTGCATGAACCACCCAATGGGTGTACACACACTTGTGGAAGGTTCACAATATGGGACATTTCTATTATTCCAGTAGGCCCCAACATGGCCATACAAGTCCTCAATACCCATCTCTGAGCACCACCCTATTTTTTACTTCTCTCCAGGCTGGTCTTGAACTCACAGAGTTGTCTGCCTCTGCCTCCCCAATGCTGGAATTAAAAGGCATGTGCCACCACCACCAAAAACATTTATTTTTTGTGGATTTGTATTCTCCTGTGTTGTAGTGTGTGTGTGTGTGTGTGTGTGTGTGTGTGTGTGTGTGTGTACGAGTGTGCATATGTGTATTTTTGTTTTGGGATGAGTTCTTCCTCCATAGTTCAGACTTGCCTTAATTTATGACCTTCCTCCCTCAACTCCCTAGAGTGCTAGAATTCTACAGGTATGTCCTCGTAGCCAGCTTTCTCTATGGTACGTGCATAGGTGTATCCAGGTGCATTTGTACATGTATATGAATACAGAGACCAGAGGAGACTGTCAGCTGTCCTTTATTGCCCTTCACCTTATTCCCTTGAGACAGGGTCTCTCACTGAGCCTGAGGTTCACTGTTTCAGATAGGCTGGCTGGCCAACAAGCTCCTGAGAACTGCCTGTCTCTGCTCCCCAACACTGGCACTGTAGGTATGTGGGGCCATGTGCAGCTTTTATATGGATGTTTGGGAATTCAAACTCAGATATTCATGCTTGCATAGCAAGTGATTGTACCCACTGAGCCATCTCCTCAAACCCACACACAGCTTGCTTTTCTGTCGTCTTTGTTGTTTTGAGATAGGATTCACTCTTTTTTTTTTGGTTTTTCGAGACAGGGTTTCTCTGTGTAGCTTTGCGCCTTTCCTAGATCTCGCTCTGTAGACCAGGCTGGCCTCGAACTCACAGAGATCCGCCTGCCTCTGCCTCCTGAGTGCTGGGATTAAAGGCGTGCGCCCGGGGGATTCACTCTTTTTTTTTCTTTTTTTTTTTTTTTTGGTTTTTCGAGACAGGGTTTCTCTGTGTAGCTTTGCGCCTTTCCTGGAACTCACTTGGTAGTCCAGGCTGGCCTCGAACTCACAGAGATCCGCCTGGCTCTGCCTCCCAAGTGCTGGGATTAAAGGCGTGCGCCACCACCGCCCGGCTCACTCTTTTTTAAACAGGTCATTTTATTATCTTTATGAATATGGATGCTTTGTCTGCATGTACATCTGTGCATCATGTACATGCCTGGTGCCTGCAGAGGCTGGAAGACAACGTCGGATTTCCTAGAACTGAGTTACAGATGGTTGTGAGCTGCCACATGGCTTCTGAGAATTGAGCCAGGATCCTCTGGAAGAGCAACCAGTGTTCTTAACCGCTGAGCCATCTCTCTAGCTCTGTCCCCTTTTTCTGTTCCTTTCCTTTCCTTCCCCACCCCCAGCCCTGAGGAACTGAACATGTGTTCTACCATCGAGCTATGCTCTCAACCCCTCTGGAACGTACGGTGTAACTGAAGCTAACCTCAGTTTGCAGCAACCTTCCTGTTTTAGCCAACCAAGTGCTGTTTAATTCATCACTATAAAATTGCTGTAATCACCTAAGTGGTCCACGGCTGTAATGTCAGAACTTGGGGGGCAGAGGTTAGATGATTGAAGGTTCAAGGCTAGACCAAGCTACATAGTGAGACTGTCTCAGAGTGGGGGAAAAAAGAAGAAAAACAACCATAAAACAAAACAAATAAAATTCCTCCATGATTACTGTCATATATGTCTTGGACTAATTTCTCTTGGGTATATGCTCATGAGTGGAAATGCTAGGTCATGTACTATGTATTAGTTATATAACCTACTTTTAGCAGACATTCCCAGTTTTCCAAAGTGGTAGTACCAGTTTACATTCTCACCAGCAGCCTATAAAAGTTCCGGTGGTACCCAGGCATAGTGGTGCACACCTGTATTCCCAGCGCTTGGGAGGCTGAAGGAGGAAGACTGATGAGAACTGTGGGCTAGCCTGAGCTACATAGTGAGACCTTGTCTCAGAGGGGGGGAAAAAGTTCCACTGGGACTGGTCATGCTTTTCACCTCGGCGCTATGCAATGGAATAAAGGTTTTAGGAAGACTGTGCAGGTTCAGCGTAGAGTCAGCAGCAGGGAGGGATGGGCTGGAGACAAGACGCTGCTAGATTAGCAGGAGGCTAGTCTCGACACCCAAGAAAGCTGGGACTGGCTGATAAAGTGAGTGAGGCTAGGCACGGCAGTGCACCCTTTTAATCCCAGCACTTGGGAGGCAGAGGCAGGTGGGCCTGCTGTGAGTGAACTCCAGGCCATCCAGCGCTATCTAGTGAGACCCTGTCTCAAAAGCAAGCGAGCGAGCGAGCGAGCAAAAAGATGAGGGAGAGTAAGTGGAAGGAGATAGGTAAGTTCAGATATTCATTTCAGACAGGGTCCAGCTATGTCGTCCACAGACCTCTCTATCCTGCCACCATCCCCCGAGTGCTGGGATTACAGGCACGCACTACCACACCCAGCTGAACACTAGACTTGGTCAATGTGTTTGTGTATGTGCCGCGTGTGCACAAGCCACAGGAGGTGCATAGAGGCCAGGGGACAATTTGTGATGTCTCTTCTCTCCTTCCACTTTTACACGGGTTCCAGGTTTCAAACACTGGTCGTCATCAGACTGGCAGGGCAAGCACTTTCCTCAGTCAGCCAGCTCACAGGCCTCTTAAGTTCTGGCTTCTGCCTTGAAAAGCTGAGTGGAAACCCAGTCAAAAGCAAAGCAAAGTTGGGAGAATAAGAGGACTGTTTGCTGACAGCAAGATTCAGGGAGATGAGCTAAGGGCCCACATAAAGCTATGTTAAGTGGGCAGTGTCTCCTGGAGGTCAGGCCATCACGAGCGTTAACACAGGCTCCGTGTGTCTCTGCCTTGGCAAGACTGGTAACTGCCGGCTGCGTGAATAGCTTGTGCGGCCTGCAGCAGGCAGACCAGGGCTAGGAGAGCAGGCCTGCCCCATCCAGCCCTATAACTTCACCTCAGACCTTGCAGGGTTAGAAGTGTGATCACATACCCACGTGACCCGGAACAGGTGAGAACAGAAACATCTCCTGAGTTCCAGACACCAGACACAGATCTTGTGAGGCTGGCACCTTCTCCTCCCACTCACATTTTCCAGGTCACTCTAGACAGCCCTGCTGAGGAGGCTTGAGTGCTGGGAGGGCACCCCCTGTTCCCTCTCCCAAGCTCAGCCCTTCCCCCCAGTTTCAGAGAAACACTGGAGAACACTGGACGCTTCATTCATAGACTTGAGTGTATTTTCTCTATCCAGCGGTTTCTTCAGTGACAACTGGGCTTGTACAATACACAGGGTTCACTCCATTAAAGCTACAGGGTTGGGAGGTTCGGGGCCCCTGAGAAGCAGTGGGGACAAGCATCACAACCAGAGGCAAGCAGCAGCCAAGGGGTGGGGGAGGCAGTGTTCTTGGAGGCTAGGGAACTAGAGAAGACTGATGAGGGGTTATTGAAGCGGGGCAGGAAGCCTGGGCTGCAGGGGGAGCAGCCAGCAGCTGCGTGGGAGAAGCAGAGTATGGGGAGGTATGGTTACCATCACCATTATGGGCTGGGAGGTGGCATGGTCACCATCACCACTAGGAGCTAGGGGGAGTGGTATGGCATATCTGTGGATATTTTGACAGGAACTGCTGTATAAAAGGGACTGTACAACATAACCTATAATACAATGTTTACATATGATACAAGGTTCTTTCCCTCTTTGGGTTTTAAAAAATAAATGTACAATTCCAGAGCTTTGGGTAAAAAATATATCCACTCCCAGAGCAGGAGCTGCAGCTGATTTCACTGCTGCCATGGCCACCGTTACCTCTTCAGAAGGGCCAGGAAGGAGGGTGAGGCTGTGCCAGGAAGCCCCACCCAGTAGCTGCCAAGAGCCCCTGCAACCCCTCTGCCCTGGAGCCCGTGATGGGAGAGGGAAGGGTGCCGGAGAGGTAATAAAAGCCTTGCCGGAGCCCAGCTGCTTCTTTATAACCGCTGCTGCCTTTTCTCCCCACTCAGGGAGGCGCTAGCTGCCCTAGGTACTGGGTCCACCCTGAGTCTATAGAAAGACAAAGGGCAGGGTGGGGGTGAAGATGGCCAGACTATGTGGTTGGCGGCAGACACAGAGCCAGAAGAAGGATGACAACTCCCCCCTTAGCAGTGAGACACCCCCCAAAGCAGAGAGGTATGGGGAACAGGTGCCCCTAACTCCCGATACCACTGCCTTCTACCCACTGCCGGGCAGAGAAGCAGGGTCCTGGAGGCAGCATAAGCCTGTGTTTCCCTGAGCATCTTTATGCCTCTCACTGCCATATACCCAGAGATCTTGGGGAAACTTGGGTGTGGGATTTACAGGGGCTAATGGGTACTAACTCTCTTGCCTTCTGATATTGCCTGCCTTCAGGAACAGGTTGGCCCACAGTTTTCACATGTAGGACAGCAGGTGGAGTTGGGCAGGGAGGGAGGGAGGGAGGGAAGGAGGGAGACAGAGTCGACAAGGGTAGCACCAAACAGAAGGGATCCTCAAAAAACAAAAGCAAAATAAACCAAAAACAACCAAACAACAACAACAACAAAACCCACTTGTGATACTCTCCCTACCTTATCAGATGCACTCTTGCTCCCTAAGAGGGGACATGTAAATCTCTCTCTCTCTCTCTCTCTCTCTCTCTCTCTCTCTCTCTCTCTCTCTCTCTCTCTCTCACACACACACACACACACACACACACACACACACACACACACACACACACTGTCTTGGGGGTGTATATCCAGGGATCTCAGCCCCGATGAGGGGGAAGTAACAGGTGGCAGGAAGAAGGCTTCCAGCGCCTCCCGGTACCACAGCTGCAATCCGGGAGCGGGTGCTTCCTTCCTGCTTGGGTCTGGAAACTCCATCTCTGGAACAGACCTCACCGGGAGAGGTCAGAAACCAAGAGTGTGGAGGAGCATGGTAAGAGAGCCTCAGCAGGACGGACAGACACGCTTATGCATTCTGGTAGGTCAACCCAACTCCTCCTTGTAGGATAGGAAGAGGCTCCAGGGGAAAGATGGCCGACGTGGGTGGTTGAGGGCATCGTGCAAAGTGCTTGAGTGCCAGGTGCCGAGGACCTAGGTGGGGGCAGCTGGGCCCCTAAACTCTCACTGACTGTTAGCCTCCAACTTGTAGGAGAGCTCAAAGAGGAGATTCTGGTTGTCGATGACCTGGAACTGGCGCACATAGGCCTTGGTCTGCAGGTGATGCGGGGAGGCCTCCATGTCCAGGCCTGGGGTGTAGAGAGGGAGAGGTGGTCAGCTCTCAGCTTCCTCTTATCCACTATATGCATGCCGGGCAGGGCAGGGCAGGGCAGGGCGAAGGGGTGTGAATGGGGACAGCCATTGGCAGGTAGCCCAAGGAAAGACAGAAGAACTGAGCAGGGTAACAAAACATACACTCACGGAGCATGGAGTTCTCCCAATCCCTCCGCTTCCACAGCTCTACTGGGAAGCCAGCTCACTGAGTCCCGGGTACTCACAGAGGGGCCGGCTCCGGTATTTTCGGATTGTCCTCACTTTCTCAGCCACGGAATGCTGGGAGATGACAAGGAATTAGCCCTGAAACGGGCACAGACAGCTGCTTCCCCCTTCATTCTCAACTGAGTTAGTCAGTTCTCCCATCTCCAGGCTCCAGTGATGGGGCCTCTGAAGGGCCAAAGGATGGGTCATAGCAAGGTGCCAAGCGGGGGAGGTGGAATTGCCCCCAAACTGCCTGTCAGCTTTGCCTCTGGTGGGTGGGTTGCCACAGTGACGCCACCAGAGAGACAGTCTGTAGTCTGTTAGGCAAGCTGGGCACCCGAGAAGAAGGCTGCTATTTTGAGGAAGTGACAGGAGAGAGGGAGAGAATGGGTACAGCCCCTCACTCCCAGGACAGGGGCTGGCAGTACTACTCACCAACTTCTCGATGTTCACCAAACCGTCCACGAGGGTCTTACTCCCCTCATGCAGGAAGGTCAGGTCTAGGGAACAGAAAGACAGCTAAATGTGAGGACTGAGTAGGCAGAGGGAACCCATCCCACCCTCCAAGACACAGGCAGCTTGGGGGGACGGGCGCTTCTCTGCAAGTAGGCACTCACAGCTGAATTGAGAGGGGGCTCAGAGCCAGGCTTAGGGTGTGGGAGAAGGGATTGTGGGTAGGAGAAACACAGCATGGGAGGGACTGACCTTTGAGGATCAGGGGCACGAAAGGAATCACAGGGGGCTTCATTTTGGAGATGATTTCTCTGTAGCTTTTATGGTTCCGGCAGGGGTCCTAGCATTCCACAGAAGGAGCAGAAACAGATGGGCCCCTGGCACCCCCAAAGATGTTTCCCATTCTCTAGGAGCTGATGAAAGCCAACCCCCACTCACCGTCAAGTTCTCAAATTTGCGGAAGAGGTTCTTGAATTTCCCTGGCAGTTTCTGCAGAGAGTTTGAAGGAAGAAAACAGAAATGTCAGTGTGGAGCTTCTTGAATTTCATGGAAGCATGTGATTAGTCTTCCTTAGAGGGTTATGGGCTTACATGTCTTTCAGGGGAAGGAGATGCTAGCAGGTGAGGACATAGAATCAGTCCTAAGGGTAAATCAGGGAGCCTGAAACTGCCTGAGGAACAAATTATTCTGGACATAGTAAGACCTCTGCCTCTGCGGCAGCGTGCACAAAAGCGCTCCCAGTGAGTGCTGGCTGAGACTCAGGAGACTCATAGCCAGGGCACTTCGGCTGGGAGTCTAGCTTTTTACTAATCTGCAAAGACATGACGAGCAAAGCTCTGTGCCCTGAGAAGCAGAGGCCAGAAGAGGGCATCTGCTTCCCTTGGCACAAAGATTCCCCACAGAGCAGCAGCAGCAGCAGGAGGGGCACCCAGATCCTGAGGTGGGATGATGCGTCTGGTACTGTGGGGAGAGAAGGGAGAGGTCGCCTCACCTCCCAGGTGAGCCGCAGGCGGCTGACGGCAGCATTATCCAGTCCCATAACCACAGCGTAGAAGGACAGGAGATCCTGGTTCTGCTTGCAGCTGTGTGGGAGGGAGGCGAGGTGAGGGGACGCGAGGAGAGGGCGCATCAGGGAGGGCGCATCAGGGAACTGCGACCTTCCCGGCCTCCAGCAGCAGCACTCACATGGCGGCGATCTTGATGAACTTCTTGAGCAGCTGGACCCGCTTGCCGGGGGCCTCACAGAGCAGCACCTCGGTGGCCACCCAGTGAGTGACCTCGCTGCAGCGTTGCAGCAGCAGCTCCAAGTTGGCTGTCTCCCGGCGACCACGCTCCCCGTGGAACACGTAGTCCACGAACTCCAGCTGCAACCGCGGGGCAGAGGGAATGTGGGGGCGAAGATGGCCGCACAGAGCACATGGAGAAGGAAAGACAGGAGTAGTGGGTATGAAAAGAGAAAAACAGGGACAGGAGAGGACATAAGCTAGTGAGCATGGAGTGACTATGCACTGCCTGAAATTAGTGTTATTTTCCCTCTGGGAGACACTTATTGCTGCCTTTTATCTTTCTATCTTTCTTTCTAAGATTTTATTTTAGAGGCTGGAGAGATGGCTCAGTGGTTAAGATCACGTTTTTTTTTTTTTTTTTTTTTTGGTTTTTTCGAGACAGGGTTTTTCTGTGTAGCTTTGCACCTTTCCTGGAACTCGCTTTGGAGACCAGGCTGGCCTCGAACTCACAGAGATCCGCCTGCCTCTGCCTCCCAAGTGCTGGGATTAAAGGCGTGTGCCACCACTGCCCAGCCTCACATCCAGGAAAAGGCGCAAAGCTACACAGAGAAACCCTGTCTCCAAAAACCAAAATAAATAAATAAATAAATAAATAAATAAATAAATAAATAAATAAATAAATAACTTATTTAACTTTATTTTATGTGCATTGGTGTAAAGGTGTCAGATTCCCTGGAACTGGAGTTACAGACAGTTGTGAGCTGCCATGTGGGTGCTGGAATTGAACCCAGGTCCTCTGAAAGAGCAGCCAGTGCTCCTAATCCCTAAGCCATCTCTCCAGCCCCAAGATCACATATTGATTTTGCAGAGGACCCAAGTTCAATTCCCAGCACCCACATCAGGCAGCTTACAACTGCTTGTTGCTCCAGGGAATCTGACACCTCTGTGACCCTATACCCAGAAATAGACAAGTACTCGTGAATAAATAACAATAATATTTTAGAAAAGATTTTATTTGGGAGACTGGAAATATTGCTCAGTGGTTAAAATGTGTACTAATCATCCAGAAAACCTAAATGTGGGTCCCAGCACCCACAAAAGGAGGTTCACAACTGTCTGTAACTCTAGCTCCGGGGAATCTGATGTCTCCGGCCTCTGTGGGCACCTGCATCACATGTGTGCATGTATGCATGCACACACATGCACATATACACTCACAATTAAAAATAAAATAAATCTTAAAATAAATTTGCCAGGTGTGATGGCACACGCCTTTAATCTCAGCACTCAAGAGGCAGAAGCAGGTGAATCTCTGTGAGTTTGAGGCCAGCCTGGTCTACAGAGTGAGTTCCAGGACAGCCAGGGCTATATACTGAGACTCTGCTTCAAAAACAACAACAAAAAAATTAAGACTTTAATATTTATTTGTGTGTGTGTGTGTGTGTGTGTGTGTGTGTGTGTGTGTATGTGTGTGTAAGTGCACATTCATGTAAAGGCCATGAATGGGCATCAGAGCCCCCGAAGCCAGAGTTACAGGTGGTTGTAAGCCACTGGTTATGATGGGCCCGGGACTCAACTCTGGCCCTCTGGAAGAACAGCAAGCACTCGTAACCTCTAAGCCAATTCTCAGGCCTCACTCGTTTGTTTGTTTAATTTATTTACTTTTATTCATGTGCACTGCTGTTTTGCCTGCGTGTATGTCTGTACGAGGGTGTCAGATGTTGGAGTGACAGACAGGTGTTAGCTTCCATTTGGGTGCTGGGATTTGAACCTGGGTCCTCTGGAAGAGGAGTCTGTTCTCTTAACCGATGAGCCATCTCTCCAGCCCCCTTATTGTTTTTGTTTTGATATGGGGTTTCCTGTATCTCCAACTCATCGTGTAGCCCAGGATAATCTGGATTCTTCTGCCTCCTCTTCCCTAGTGTTGAGACTACAGGCATCCACCACCACGCCTGATTTATTCAGTGGTGAGGGCCGAGCCCAGGGGTTTGTGCATGCTAGGCAAGCATTCCACCAACTGAGTTACACCCTCAGCTCGATAGCAAACATCTTTATGACTCCTGATATGAGTTCCAATTCAGAGTCTATGTCGGCAGCTCCCGAAACAGGCTGCCGTAGAGACTCTCTGTTTCCCCAGACGAGGGGCAAAGGCCTACAGAGGTTATACTTGTACATTGCCCACGTGTGTGCTGCAAGGGAGCCTTCTAGGCTAGGACTAGGACTGTCTGCTGCAAAAGCAGACCCCTACCAGCACGTTCCGTGCCCCCCCCCCACCCCTGCCCAGCACAAGCCTCAGTCCCACCTCGTGCACACATCGGAACAGCTCCCAGTGGAAGGCAGTAAGATGGTTAGCAACATCTTCAGGTTCCACCCGGTGGATCTCTGTGTCTCCAGGGGAGACCTGGATCTCCTCAGGAAGGGGTACCTGGTGGCAGGTGGGGTCAGAGGAACTTGGCTCCCTGCGGTAGGGTGAGAGACGTGCTCTCAGCAGCCCCTCCCCCCAGCTCTTGTTACCAGCCAAGACTGGTGAAGGAATTCTTACTAGAGTCTCATAGCTGTCCCGGGTACAGGCAAACAGGTGGCTGTTGATGCCCAGGGTGGTGAAAACACAGTCTTCTGTTGGCTGGAGGAGGACCTTCTCTGCAGAGGAACAGGCTGTTCAGCTTTGGCCACCTACACCTCTCACATACATACCTGAGCCACCATCACCCTTCCCACCCAGAAACCCCTAACACTATGCTGACACATCCTAGATTAATGGGATTTTTATCATCACCAGCTTATACCATATTCATATGAAATTTGACAAACGTTTTCTCCTGCATTTATAGACTCCACCCCATATGCAGCCCATCTCCCATTCTTTCGTCTCTATGACATTGGACAGGCTGGAGTACTTTTTCTTTATGGAAAATAAAGCAAAGATTAGCATGATGGAGCATGCCCGAAGTCCTGGCACCTGGGAGGCCGAAGCAGGAAAGACTGTAAATTCCAGACCAGCCTGAAGTTTTATACAATACACGCACGCACGCACGCACGCACGCACGCACGCACGCACGCACGCATGCTATACTACATTGCTGGCTCTCTGCCTCCCCACAGGGTTAGAACCAACCCTATGTCTTCAGCCTTTAAAAAAAAAAAATGGGGCTGGAGAGATGGCTCAGAGGTTAAGAGCACTGACTGCTCTTCCAGAGGTCCTGAGTTCAATTCCCAGCAACTACATGGTGGCTCACAACCACCTGTAATGGGATCTGGTGCCCTCTTCTGGCCTGCAGTCACATATGCTGTATACATAAATAAATAAATCTTTGAAAAAAAAAATGGAGCATACAGGATGCTGGGGAGAGTTGTGTGTGAAGGACCAGAACACAATCTCCAGGTGGGTATTAGGTAGTACCCAGGACAGAACCCAATGATTCTGAACCAGTGTGTCCCAAATTTAAATGTGCATAGGGATCCCCTGGGTGAGAGGGGGCCAGGTCTGGTTCAGATGTAGATTCTAATGCTGTAGGTTTGGGGTAGGGTCTCCTAGGTGATGCACTCACCAAGGCTGGACCCACGATGACACTTCTGAGTATCAAGGATCTAGAATTTAGCATTTACCCCTGCCTAATGTGCTGACCCTCACCTCCAGAGGAGGCAACAGCTACCAGGATGAGGGCATCCTCACGCTCTGTGGGCTCTTCCGAGTACTGCAGCTTCTCTGTCACAGAGCCCAGGATGTCCTGCACTGAGGCTGAGAGGCGGCTGCGTATGGTCACGTAAGAGTGGTCAGGCATGTAGACCCGGCAGAAGACTGCGCAAAGACGGGAAGGGTTCTGTGAAAGGGGCTGAGGAGACTCCACTGAAGGTGCAGGAGGCCCAGGGACCCCACCCACCTCCCTGATCCACCCCAGAAACTATGCTTTTCCTAATGGCCATACTTACTCTCATCAGAGCCCCGGAAAGCCACCCGGGTCTGCAGACAGGAATCTATCCGGCGGAAGTGGCGGAAGAGCGGCTTAACCTGCTTGCTGGGCGGCTGGCTCTCCTCTGGAATCCTGGCATGAACACAGCCGGGCATCAGCAAGCCCTGCCAGGCATAGGGAGCACCAGGCAGGAACATTAAGCAGGGACAGGACAATGACCAGCATAGGACAACTGTCCAAGTGACCCAAATCAAATGCCACCTCTTTCAGTGCCTCCTCCATAGGCCACTCATCCAGGAGGCAAGGTCACTCTCTTGTCTCAAAGGCTATAAAACAATGGAACAATGTTGTTTATGTTCATGTCATCTTTTCCACAAGATTGACAGGTTTTGAGGAACAGGATTAGTTTATGAGGAGTGTTTTTCACTCTTCAGGATCTAGCACACTTCTTGGCGCATGATAGGTATAGGACATCAGATGTCTGAATTTTGCCAAAAAGGACTTCACAGTCTGGGAAGGAGACAGACGTGTACGCAGCTACTTCTAACACCAGCCAGGAAGTGATGGTGAGATGACAAAGGTACCGGAGAGTGATGTGGTGTGGGGGAGGACGGAAACTCTTCCTAAAGGGAGAAATCTGAGATGTTTCCATGGAAGAGATGGCCCTTGACCCAGGCCTTAAAGGATCATGGGAAGAAAAAGTAGGAACTCACAAAAGTTGCCAGAGTAGCAGGTGAAGAGGGATGTACGAGAGGAGATGGGAAAGATCAGCAGATGGCAGGAAGGGAGGGGGGTGCTGATGCTGTGCTGGGGCATTTAACTTGGAGATGTTAGGGAACACGGATGCTTTGGGAACAGGAGGGTGGAGGCATCGTTTGTGGAAGTCTGGAAAATATCTTTGGTGTCAGAAGAGAGAAGAGAGAAGATGCAAGGCCAGGAGCTGAAGTCCTGAGCGGGCTGTGGCAACAGTCTAGGCGAGAGTTAACGAACCTTGTAGCACCAGGAATGGAGAGGAGAAAACAGGATGTATTCCTATCCTGAAGCTAGTGAGGTCAATTTGGGGGAATTCTGCCAACTGTTTGTTTAGGTAATAGCAGGGGTTAAACCCCGGACCTTACACATATTAGATAAGCAGCCCACCACTGAGCTACATCCCAAGCCCTTATTAATTTTTTTTTTTTTTTTTTGGTTTTTCGAGACAGGGTTTCTCTGTGTAGCTTTGCGCCTCTCCTGGAACTCGCTTTGGAGACCAGGCTGGCCTCGAACTCACAGAGATCCGCCTGGCTCTGCCTCCCGAGTGCTGGGATTAAAGGCGTGCGCCACCACCGCCCGGCTTTTTTTTTTTTAATTTGAGACATGATCTCACTAAGTTGTCCAAGCTGGCCTGGAATTGACGATTCTTCTGCTTCAGCCTCCCGAAAACCTAGGATTACCACGCCTAACTGATACATAACTGATACATATTGTTTTTGTAAGATTAATTTGTATTTTGAATGTGTATGGGTGTTTTGCCCGTAAGTGCCTTGTGTACCACATGCAAGCACTACATTTGGAGGTCAGAAGAGGGCATCAGATCCTCTGGAACTGGAGTTACAGATGGTTGTTAGTGGCCATGTGGGTGCTGGGAATCCAACCTGGGTCCTTTGGAAGAGCAACAAGTGCTCTTAACCATTAGGCTGTCTCTGCAGTCCCTGCTAACTGATTTTTTTTTTTCAAGACAGGGCTTCTTTGTGTAGCTTTAGCTGTCCTGGATCTCGCTCTGTAGACCAGGCTGATCTTGAACTCATAGAGATCCGCCTGCCTCTGCCCTCTTGGGTGCTGAGATTAAAAGTGTGAGCCACCACTGCCCCACAGTACGCTAACTTTCTAAGGACAGCTATTAAATATGTGTGTGTTCGTTCATACATACACATTTTGAAACTTGAGGTTAAATAAATTATTATGAAAAAGACAGTTTCAAGCCAGGCAGCATTGCACAAATCCATAATCCCACCTTGGAGGCAAATACAGAAAGATTGCTTCAGGTTTCAAGGACTCTGTCTCAAAAGTAAATAAATAAGAAAAAAAAAAGAAAGAAAGAAATGGTAGTTTTCTAAGTTCGTTTTTTGCTGTTTTGTATTGCCCAGGCTCCGGTTTTTTTACACATATGTAACAATGTGGTGGAAATACTATGTAACCACTACTGCAGGTCTCATCCCAGCTCTACAGTCAGTGAGGCCTTGTTGATAGCTTGGTAAGAGAATTTACGCTATGAGAATCAGAGCAATCAACCAGGGCTGTTTCTCATAAAGCACAGGTTGTTAAATATCTGTCAGAACACTATCATATTAATAGACAAACTGATGGAAAAATGGACCAAAAACTAAAAAAGCCTGGACCTGGGCCTGGTAGTACAGGTCTACTTGGGCCACACAGTAAGTTGGGGGTTAGCTTGAGCTATATAGTAAGACATGTTGCTTAGCCCTCCCCACCAAAAAAAAAAAAAAAAAAAAAAAAAAAAGACTGGGTTAGAAACAGTGTTCTGTGGTTCTGTGTTACTCTCCAGTAAAGGAAAGGAGCTGAGCCGGGCGTGGTGGCGCACGCCTATAATCCCAGCACTCGGGAGGCAGAGGCAGGTGGATCTCTGTGAGTTCGAGGCCAGCCTGGTCTACAGAGCTAGTCCAGGACAGGCTCCAAAGCTACAAAGAAACCCTGTCTCGAAAAACCAAAAAAAAAAAAGGAAAGGAGCTGAAAGAAACTATATTGAAGAGTTGAAGGGACTGGAGAGATGGCTCAGTGGTTTAGAGCACTGGCTGCTCTGTTCCCAGCAACCACATGGTGGCTCACAGCTGTCTGTGACTCAAGTTCCTGGGGACCCAATGCCCTCTTCTGACCTCAGCGCACCCAAGCATGCAGGTGATACACAGATACACATGCAGGCAAAATGATAAAAATAAATAAATATCTCGAGAAGCAAGCAAGCAGACAAACTAATATGTTGAAGCCACAAGACCAGAGGCAGCCCCTATAATAGAGGAATTCAGGGAACCCCTCCCCCTCACTTTAGCTCCACTGTCTCCACCAGCTGGTGCAGCCTCAGAGTGTCCTCTCGGAGGTCTTGGTAAAGGGACTCATCCTTCATAATCAGCAGATACAGTTCCTAGGGAGAGTGTAACAGATGAGATGAAGGTGGATGTCTGATCCTAAGGACCACTCACTGTGAGGGCTGAGGCAGGGCCTCCATGCCTCAAGCACTCAGGAATCACATGGACCAAAGCCCACTGGCATCTTTTGTTCCAGATGCCCAACTTGCAGAGTGTGAATCCTTCAAAGGGCCCCCTTCCAGAGCTGAGAGCCAGCTCATACACCTTTCCCTTCCCAGGCCCACCTTGATAATGTGGCCGGCCCCTTCTTCCTCTTGTAACAGTCCTTGGTAGGTATCCAAGAAATGGAGGAGTAGAGCTAGACAGGCTTGCTTCCGGCCCAGCCCCTCTGGACCCTCCACATCCCTTGACTGAACAAAGCTGACCCCTAAGTTAAGTAAAAGTTCTGGAGAGCCAAGGAAATTGGGAAACACAAATTGCCCCCAAATATTCTGGGCTTGGGTACCAGAGGAAAGGTTTTCAGGGCCTTGGAACCAAGAGTTTTACTCATACCAGCCATGGTTTTGCTGAGAGTACAAAGAGCGAGGGCTTCAGCTTGACCACATTCAGCTCTTGCCTGTTAAAGAGGTTCACGTAAGAATATTGCCAGGACCCATCTAATCTCTGGCCAACCCACAAACCTGACCTTACCTCATGGTGAGGCCCGATTGTTCTAGGAGAGCCTGACATTCTACTCAAGGGCTTGACAGGTACAATCAGATTCTAAAATAATTCCAAGAAGCCAGGCATGGTGGTACAGTCCTGTAATCCCAGCATTCAGGAGGCGGAGGCAAGAGGACCACCACAGGTTAATGATAGCCGGATCTACATTAGAAGTTCCAAACTGGCTGGGCATGGTGTCACATCCCCTTAGTCTCAGCACTCGGGAGGCAGAGGCAGGTGGATTTCTGTGAGTTTGAGGCCAGCCTGGTCTACAGAGAGTTCCAGGATAGCTTGGAATATTCAGGGAAACCCTGTCTCAGAACAACAACAAAAGTCCAAACTACCCAGGATTACATAGTGTGAGACCTGTCTCTAAAAACAAACAAACAAACAAACAAAAAAAACAAGTAAAGTGAATGCTGTATGCTACCAAGAGACCCAACCAACAGGCCGGCAGTAGCTCATCTTTATTATTATTATTATTATTATTATTATTATTATTGGTTTTTGAGACAGGGTTTCTCTGTGTAGCTCTGGTTGTCCTAGAACTTGCTCTATAGACCAGGCTGGCCTGGAACTCACAGAGATCTGCCTGCCTCTGCCTCCTGAACACTGAGATTACAGGTGCCTATCACCACTGTCCGGCTTGCACCTTCCACTTGTATAGGTCTTCCAAGAGCACTCCCACACCTGCGGCAAGGCTGATCCTCAGAGCGAGCAGCCCGGAGCAGAGCAACTATTGATCTCCATTTTACTGACTGAAGCAAACTGAAGCTCCAGGGTGTGAAGTGATCTGCCCAAGGTCACACAGCTGGTGAGATGAAGAGCCGGCTGTATCTTCTCAGGGAGAGTTTGCACTGGGTTGTAGTTTGTGGGTGGGAATGACTCCCCTCCCGGTCTGCCCTTTTATAAGCTCCATAAAAGGATATTACTGGTGTAACTCTTGTAGAAACTTCTCTGTTGGCAGGAAGAGGGAATGGGTGAGGACAATGTCATCAAGCAGAATATCTGTGGAGATCAATGGGTATCGCAGATGTCAGGATGGTGCTTCTAGAACCGTCTGGAAACCCTGCACCCTCATTTCTTGCCTCTTTAGTAAGGCTGGAGCCCCGGCCACCTGCCCTGTCATGCTCTGCACACGCGCACACACATGTATGAAGGTTCTGGGCAGCCGCTGCGGGGGTGGGGCTGGCAGCTGCCAAGGCAGCTGGAGAGAAGGGGGGGGGTGCCTCTGAAGGCCATGCACACTTCTCTTCAGTGTGTGGGAAGTTGGTCAGATAATACACCATGCCTGGGATTGCTTGGGAAAAAGGAGTCCACAGAAGGGACCCTAAACAGAGAATTGGCCAACACAGAGGTTATAGTCAGAGGGTGTGGGTGTGTGGGGATGTGTGTCCATCCTCCCCTCACCACGCCTTACCTCACAGCTTTGACAGGGCAGGTGGGGACCAGCCCCATTAAAGTTAGGAGAGGGACAGACTGCCACCCCTTGTTCTCAGGATGCCCAGAGGTGGAAGGGTTAATGATGAAGAGGAGAGGGGGAGGGGCTCCTCTCACCACCCTGCTCCTTCCACACCCCTGTCTGGGCCTGGCTCAGCCAGTCAGCCAGGTACAAGGTCGCCCTGACTTGCAGCCAGCCTTGGGGTGGGGCAGGGCTGCTTGGCACACACAGACAGGCAGGGCACAGGGTGGGAGCCAGGTGTCCTCACCAGGACAGGTTAGGGCCAGGTCCCCAGGCACTGCTCCAGGACAAAACCAAGGCTTCTGACAACTGCCCTGCTGCCAGTGCCAGCCATGAAGGGAGAGGTGGAGAGGCAACACAAGATTGTCTACTTCCATCTATCTCATTTCACAGATGAGAAACTGAGGCCCACAGCTAAGAGGCACTTGCCTCGAGCCAAAAGAACCTAGATTACTGAGTTCTTTTCTCAATATAGAGACAAACAGGGTGTCAGAGTAGAATCTAGTGGCCACAAGGGGCTGCCTAGACTTCTGAGGGGCTCTGGCTGGGCGTGGAGAGCCCTCTACAAGCACATGTTTCCTCCTACAAGCCTGGGAGGAAACCAAATGGCTTGAGGATGTGGCTTATGTTGGAAATATTGGAGTGGCAGGTTAAGCTGGTAGATTTCCCAAACCAGTTTCTCTGGGGATTCAGCCTGCCAAGCCAGAGAATATGGGTGACAATTTGGGAGTCTTAACCCAGTGGAAACTGAACAATCTGTGGCATCATGCCCCTGCAGAAGAGGAAAGTCAACCTCTCTCTCTGAAAGTAAAGAAGCACTCTGGCCCTCGTGCCCAGCTCCAGGGATGGGGCCTAGGCATAAGGTGACCTGACATTCTTCCTTTATCTTTATCTCACTAGAGTGGGAATGCTAAAACCAGAGTGAAGGAAAAGGAACACGGGCAGAGTGGGGGAGATGCTGCTATGGGGGCTGCAGTTTGGCATCTGTCTCTTCCAAAGCAGGCTCTGGTCCAACGCACAGCCTCCCTGGGGAATGTGTCATAGAGACACAGGGTGTGTTTTGTAGGCGGGAAGTTATGGTTAAGAGAGCTCTGGTGTGTCTGATATTTTTTCTAATTAAATCCAAAAGGTGTCAGCTCCCCAGGGCAACTGCAGCCCGAGCCAAAAGAGAGGACCCAGACCTTCAGGAAAAGAAAAAAAAAAAAAAAAAAGAAAGAAAGAAAAGACAAGGGGGGAGGGACAAACGGAGTAGAGGGGAGTGACATCTACTTCTAAAGACAGAGCATTTTGCAGAGGATGAAGAGCAACGTGTAAGGCCCTCATCTTCAGGGTCTCAACTCTGGGCTCCCAAACCTAAGCCCCTTTTGGGTTCACTGGAGTGTCTAGTTAGACCTACAGACCCTGATGTCCTCTACCTGAGTGCTAACCAGTAATGTGGGGCCTCAGTTTCTCATAAGCCCTTTCATAGGGTGCTGGTGGAGTGGGGTGAAATGGCATCATCATTTAGGGAATAAGCCTCTCGGGGTGTGGTTATTATTTTTCAAAGAAGCTTTATGCTGAGGCCCAGATCCTTCTGGATGCTGCAGTCTCCTGGTGCCTTCCTTAAAGACCTTCAAATTCACCCCCAAGGAGGACACTTTCCCTAAAGGCAGCCGGGCCCTATGCCTATCCACACTGCCCCACCAAGAGAGCCAGCCTGTGCTCTGCGGGCGTCTACACAGCCAGGGGGATCTTGTCAAGGTTTTCAGGCCTCATACATATACGGTCTGGAGGGTGGTTAAACCTCAGTTGGAAAGCTTCCTTCCATCAGGGAGTCAGGCCCTAATTTGGGGGCATGGGAGGAGATAGGCAGTATCAAGGGCCACGGGAGACTGGCTTAAATGTCCAAGGGAGAGGGAGGATGGCTGAAGGAGAGAGAGGATGGTTGGCTTCTTCCCTGGGGATGAGGCTCATCTTAGGAGAAAGGTCGGTGGGCCTACCATGTCCCTTCCCCTATATTACTGCGGGGTTACCCTCAGCTCCTACACTGGTGCTAAGGACAAGAAAAGAAACCAGGGCACCCCTTTGCTCTGGGAGGGATGAGCAGACTTACCTGAGGCGCCGCTGTCCCTGGTAGTCCCTCCAGCCAGGCGCTCCAGAACCCGGTTCAGAAGATGCTCTGGCCGCTCGGGGGCGCCCAGGGGGGCCCAGGGAGGTGAAGCCAGGGGCTCGCCCGGGGATAGCTCATCTGAGGAGTACGAGGAAGGGGAGCGCAGGGGTACCCCGCACCCCAGCGGCCCGGGCTCGGGCACCTCCTCTAGCTGCAGCCAACACGGCCCCCCGCTGCCCGGCTCCTCCGAGACCCCTAAGGGCTCTCCCCCTTCCTCCTCAGCCGGCGGCTCCAGCCCGGACTCGGCTGAGGGCTCTCGGAGGAAAGCTGGGAGCAGCAGGCGAGACACGCTCTGACGCCGCTGCAGCGGCCGCGGTCCCCCGGTCGGACCGCCGCCCCCGCCAGGGCCGCCACCCCCTCCAGGCCCTCCGCAGCAACCCGGACCCCCGCCGGGACCTCCTGCCACCGCTCGCCCCGCCAGCTGCGACGTCTGCTTCTTCAAAAATTTCTCCAGTGGCTTCATGCCCCCCCCCGCCCCTCTCCTAGGGGCCGCCGGGGGACCCAGGTGTCCCAGGCGCGGGCGGGGGGGGCGGGGACACGATGCTCAGAGCCGGAGGAGCAGAGCCGAGGGCCGTGCCAGGCGCCGGACTGCCAGCCAGAGGTGGCCGAAGCTCGCTGGCCAGAGTCCAGTGGCCAGTGGCCGGGGGAGGTGCCAGAGGGGAGAGGAGCTCGCTCTCAGCAGCCCCCCATGCTGGCTGCGGCCGAAGGGCGGGCAGGCGGAGGGGCCGGTATCCCCGGCTCAGTGCTCCGGGGCCGGGCTGAGGCGGCAGAGGCAGCGGGCGGAGCGCAAGGCTGAGGACGCGGCGGCGGCGGCGGCGGCGGCGGCGGCTGCGCTCCTGGCCCCGGGGAAGGTGGCAGAATTGAGACCGCGCCCCCTCATCCAGTCCCCACCCCTACCCTGCCTAGGCCCGCCCCCACCCGGCCGCGCGAGGCTTGAACTGGGGCGCTGGTGCTGACCGCGAGGGAAATTCGGACTTGGCTTCTGACAGTCGCAGAAGCTAAGGGCAAAAGAGGGGGCGGGGGGGGGGGGATTTACCAATGGAGAGCGCTCCTGGTTCTCGATTACCGGGTCTCTTACGATCATTTCAAATAACCAGGGAAAACCTTTGACATACACCTTGACGCGCCTACCTGTACACAGGTAAGCCTTATTAAAAGACTGCTGAACTCATTGCATCTTTCCCAGTTATGTGGTCTTTATGTCCCACCCGTGAGAAGGGTTGGGACGGCATCTTGGGTGAACTGGCATTGGCACTGGGGGCGGTACCCACATCCTTCTCTGATAGGGTATAGTAGGTGGTGCAGGGCCGCCCTGTAAGGCAGGTACCGGCAGGTAGGAAAGAGCCAGGCAGACCAGCAGGTCGTGGCAGGTCTAATTGGGGTGAAAAGAGATAGTAGGCAGCAAGAGGAGGCCAAGAGCACAAGGGCGCCTTAGCCCAGGTAGTAGTAGCAAAAGGAAGCAAGACCGAAGAGTTGAGTGGTAAGTCCCCAAATTGCTAACTATTGTCACCAAACACATAACGTTCATGGAATGGGAGAAATGTTGCCCTTACTCCTGATGGCCATGCCAGAGCATTCTGCCACCAAGGGTACACTGGATTGGAAGATGAGGCTGCAGAGACACAGTGTGAACACATCCAGGCTAGGTATACACAGTGAGGGAGTGGCACCAGGATCCTGGTGGGTTGGGGCTCCTTGGACAATTCCCCAACCCTGTTTACTGTGCACCAGACAGGCATGGATGGACAGGAATGCTAATAGCTGGGAGTGGTGGGACTGACGGGGTGTGTACTAGTGTTGCTGTCTGTGCATACCCAGTTCCATGTGTGCATGTGTTCACAGAAATAAAGCTCTGCACACCCATCTGTGGATTTGGAGAGGGAACAAAAAAGACACACACACACAAAAAGATAGCTCTGATTTTGGCTAAGAAGCTAGGTTTGAGTATTTACTTTCTGGGTTCCCTTACTCGGACACTCAGTATCTCAAGGTTGAAAGTAGAAACTGGCTTAGAATGGCTTGGAGCTCCCCAGGTAACCTTTTAGGAACCAAATAGGAAGAGGGGAGGGCTTCTCTTCTGCACATGCCACAGTTACCAGATTAAGCGGTTGCCTTGGAAACCTCCTCTCTGGGCAGGATTTGGGATTGTCGGTTAGGAAGGGTGAAAAATTAGGGAGTGTGAAGGGTGTGGGGGCTGGAAATAAAAGGGACTGAGATACTTCTAGAAACTAAAGGCTTGGTTTCCAAACCCTTCCATTCAAGACCTTGAACCAGAAGAAAGGGAGGCACTAAGTACTCCCGGAACATCAGTGGTTTCCACTCTGGCTACACACCAGAACCACAGATGTTCTGAGCTTTTCAGAATTACTGGTGCCTGGGTCACACCATAGATCAATTATGAGATCCTCTGAGGCAGGCCCCAGGCTTCTGTTAGCTTAGAAAGCTCCCCAGGTGATTCAAATAACCAGCATTGGGCCAGGCAGTGGTGGCGCACACCTTTAAGCCTGGAGACAGGAGGATCTGAGTTGGAGGCCAGCTTGGTCTACAGAGCAAGTTCCAGGACAGGCTTCAAAGCTATAGAGAAACCCTGTTTCAAGGAAACAAACAAAAAACACCAAAAAACCCCCAAATAGTCAGAGTTGGTCAACCCTAGCAGGCTGCAGGTATCAGAGGTATTTGCAATTGCAAATCCTTGCTGTTTTACCTACAAGGTAGGTCCATGAACTGACCCTCCTGAGTGTGGGGGGTGGGGGATTGATAGGGCATCTGTATTACTATGAGAAAGGTAGGGTGGTGTACAATTACTTAACTGAGGGAATGGAGGCCAACAAGCTTAACTGAGCCTGCCCAACCCATGAGCTTCTAAAAAAGGTATTGGACAGGGCTACCCAAGGCAGTAATGTATCTGCCCCTTAAACTCCCATTACTTCTGCCCACAGAGAGGCAGGCTGGGAGGGCAGAGAGAACCTGAGGGCTTTGCTGAGCTTGAGTTTCTTCTTGCTGAGCCGGTTACCAGGGCAACAGAGAGAGCAATGGGATCTAAGCAGAGGACTGGGGAAGAGGCAGGGGTGAGGAGGAAGCATCCTAATATTCCTCTTTCCTGCCAGTAACCCACTGCCAAAGTTGTTTGGCATTCTTTGCATGACCCAGGAGACCAGGCATATAGTTACCCATCACCTATGGGACAGAGGGAAGATGTTCCAATGACACCCACACCACCAGTGTAAAGCTTTGTGGAATCAAGAACAAATGTTTCCAGCCCCACAACACCCAAATGCTCTTCCATACCTAGAGTGGCCTTTGCATAACAGTTGTAAACTTCCACCCAGGGAAAGTCCATTCAAAACTGGTAATTACTCTGTCTTCCAGAGTCTCAAGTGAAAGACAGAATGAACCAGTTGGTTTTTGTTTTCCTTATCTTTACCAGTACCAAGACTGGTAGCTGTCCTTCGGACTGTAGGCCTTGGTATTTTAGTACCCCTACCCCCCTACCCCCGAGACAGGGTTTCTCTGTGTACACCTGGCTGGTGCTCTGTAGACCAGGTTGGCCTTGAACTCACAGAGATCCTCCTGCCTCTGCCTCCTGAGTGCTGGAATTAAAGACCAGCATTCTATGGTCTTTAATCCCACTATGCCCAGCTGCGTAGAGTTATCTTTCTTGGAAAGTAAAGACAGCACTAAAAGCAAGTCATAGTAACCCAGTTTTAATCCCAGCACTCAGGAGGCAGAGGCAGGTGGATCTCTGTGAGTTCCAGACCAGTCAGGGTTACAGAGTGAGACAAGGTCTCAAAAAAACAAAAATAAATAAATATATTAAAAAAAATAACCTGACAGAAATTGCGTGTGGCAGTGTACACCTGAAATCCTAGCACCTGGGAGTGGAGACAGTAGGATCAGAAACTGAAGGGTGAGTTAAGAGGCCAGCCTGGACTGTATGAGCCCCAGGTCTGAAAAACAAAAAAAGAGGGATAGAATGAGAAACTATTGGTGAGCACATTCAAACTTGGGGCCTCACAAGGGCTCCTTACCTCTATGACCTTCCATTTTACCAGTTTGTGCTGGCTCAAATTATGACTGTGATTCTATAGTGAAATTAGTCTCTTTCTTTCCTCCCAAATCAAGATACATATAATAAGTGGCAACAGAGTCAAGTCTATAGTCTAAATTTTATTATCTCCAAGTCACAATGCTGATCACAAATATGCACCTTTAAAACAGTAACAAAAACAACACACAGGGTGAAATCTTTGCAACTAAACACAGTGGACCAACAGACAACTGTCACAGTGTCTTAAGGTCTGGGAATCTGGGCATGCGCCCACAGGCTTGAGGAAACATCTTCAGGTTTAAGGCAAAGGGAAGCCCATAAAAGGCACAACCACCAGCTACCCCTGGAAGAACCTCTTAGTTATTTCCTCCTTGGGGGTTACCCCCCACCCTGACTCAAGAGTGGTTAGGCCAGCTGTAGGAGGGAAGAATAAAAACAGTGACATTACTGGGGAGAGACAGCCACCACCTTTTCCTCAGGTTCTGTAGGAACCCTGCAGGCATAGTGCTGCAGTAACAGACTTCCACAGGGCACAGGGATGTGGTTTGACATGCCATGGAGAGGAATGACAGAAGGGAGAGCCTTTGCCCAGAAGGTGACTTGCTTCCTTAGGAGTCAAGGTACAGTTACCTTCTGTTTCCAAGTACAGGAGCAGAATTTGGGGAAAGTAAGGTAGTAACATCTAAAAACACTTGTAGCAGGGAAGGCATGGAGAAGAACTGCAAAAGACAAGGCAGATAGACTGCTGGATAGTATCTGTCTCTAGAGATGCATTGGTCCACAGCAACTGGGAGGGGATGTAGTAGGAGGGATGTAAAGAAAAGAAGCAGGGCCCACTAGTTCACTCACCTCAAAGACAGCCCTGAGGACTCAGCCATGCGTCCCCTCATCGTGCAGAGGATCTCACCCCTCCCTCCCTTCTCACAAAAGCATTCAGCTTGTTTTCTCTCTCCACAGCAGAGATTCTGCCTCCCTGGAGGACTGAAGTCCATCAGAATAGAGGTACTGAAGGAGGCTCAGTCTTGTAAGACCTACACCCCAAACAAGGGCTCCTGCTCACCTACTGAGCTCTCCTCTACAGTGGGATACTGGGTGCAGATAGCTTCCACAGGGTTAGGAGTTAGAGACTAATAAAGACCACTCACAAGGAAAAGGCCAGCTATTTTTACACTTGGTTGATACAGTCTCGATTATGTGGGAGTCGGGGAGGAGTCAAAAGGACTCCAGAAAGGGTAGTAAACTAGACTGAACTTGTTTCATGTAAAGTCAGGGGTAGATCAAGGAAAAGGAGAAAAAAACTAAGAATATTAATTTAAGAAGGGTTAAGTCAGGCTTTAAAAATGAACATTCAAACAAATAAGCAGGAAGGAACTTCCCTGGGAGCAGAAGACACTTGAATTTCCGGGGAGAAAGTAAACAACAGTGAGATGCAGGCTTCTGACTCTGCAGGAATCTAGACTCTGAAGCCTGGGCTGTCCAGTCTCTGCTCCTATGAGTCCAGGCAGCTCAAGTGAAGAGTGGAGGTTTCTTCTCTCTCTAGCAGGCCTGTCCTCAGAAGAGGGCCTCTCGTGCTCGGCTGGCAGGGTCACCCCACATTTCTCATCTCCCCCAAGTTTTCACCTTTCCTGTTCTATTGTGAGTTAAAAAGAGAAGAACTATGTGTCAGTGGACCTCTGGGTATTCATATAAGCCTTCTCAGAAGGCCACATTTCTAAACAGTGTGGCTTATTTGGCGCCAAAGATCACCCTGGGCTTCTAAATAATGTGTTTGAATGACCACAAAACAAAACAAGAGCAATAAAAACACCCCAGAGTCAGGTGTGGCAGCCCACACCTGTAATCTGAGCAGTCAGAGGTGGAAGCAGGAAGATGGAAAGTTTGAGGCCGGCTAGGGTTATACAGTGCGATCTTTTTTTCCTAAACAAACCACACTCCTCCAAAGCTCTGAAACAGCCCCACAGCCCCTCTCTTCTAATAGCTTTACAACTGGCTTCTCTGGCTATAACAACTTAAATTCAGGTTTTTTTCTTTCTTTGATCTAGTTTAGATTGGGCTCTTGTATTTTTATTCTTCAGTTTCCCACACGAAACTTTGAAGGGAGAAATGGTTTTTCTTCAATTCTGCCCAATGCATTCATAAAACAATTTCCCTGAGATATCTCATGACTATAATGTAAAGCATTAATTAGGTGGTTTTATATTTATTTATTTACTTATTCATTCATTCATTCATTCATTCATTCATTTTGCTTTTTTGAGACAAGAGTTTCTCTGTGTAGCTTTGGAGCCTTTCCTGGAACTCACTCTGTAGCCCAGGCTGGCCTCAAACTCACAGAGATCCACCCAGCTCTGCCTCCCAAGTACTGGGATTAAAGGCGTGCGCCACCGCCGCCCGGCTAGGTAGTTTTATTAAGCACATAAGGGTGAGAATTAGTTTTAGACTAAGAGTCACAGTACACTGGGTACTTACTTTCACATGATGTTACACTTAAAATATTTGCAAACTCAGTATTAACTGGAACCCCTGCTTACAACCTGAAATAAAAAAATTGGAATTTGTTACCATGTCACACACAAAAAGACTTCCATTAGCCAGGTGTGGTGGCACACATCTTTGATCCCAGCATTCTGGGAGACAGAGGCAGAATCTGAGTTCAAGGCAAGGCTGGTCTACAGATTGAGTTCCAGGACAGCCAGAGATACATAGAGAAACCCTGTCTCAAAACAAAGACTTCCATAGAAACACACCCCCTGGAGAAAGCAAGCCCACATGCTTAAAGTGTGGGAATGAGACTTACCTCAGGTGGAGGGGGCTTGATGGAGACTGGCTGGGGAGTCCTCCGGGGTGGGGAGGGTTTTGGCTGCACCTGCTGCTGGGCAGGGTTATAGTAGGTCACTCCTCCATACACCTGCGATGGAGCCTAGGACCCCCATAAAGCCAGGAGGAAAAAAAAAGTTAAGAATTAACCCAAATTAGGAGAAACAAAACACTAGCCAGCTACAAAAATAAAAAGCATTGAAGAACTTCAATTTTTTTTTTTTTTTTGGTTTTTCGAGACAGGGTTCTCTGTGGAGCTTTGCACCTTTCCTGGAACTCACTTGGTAGCCCAGGCTGGCCTCAAACTCACAGAGATCCGCCTGGCTCTGCCTCCTGAGTGCTGGGATTAAAGGCCTGCGCCACCACCGCCTGGCTAAGAACTTCAATTTTTAAAAAAATGGGTGGTTTTTTTTTTTGGACAGGTAGAGTGGAATGCTCTACATAGTGAGACCTTGTCTCAAAAAAATAAAACAAAACAAAACAAAACAGAAAATAGGCTGAGCAAGCCATGAGGAACAAGCAAGAGAACAGCACTCTTCCACGACCTTTGTTCCTGCCTCCAGGTTCCTAACCTGACTTCCTTCCATGATGAACAGTGATGTACAAGTATAAGCCACATAAGCCTTTCCTCCAGGTAACACTGGTCACATGACTGCTTTTGTTTCACAGCAACAGTAACCCTAACTGAGACAGTGTCTATGTGACTGTATGGTGGTGTCCTCAGAGGCCAGGAAGACCCCTGGAGCTGGAGTTACTACTGGCAGTTGTGAGCTGCCTGCCATGGGTGCTGGCACTGAACCTGGGTCCCTCTGCAAGAGCAAGTGCCCTTAACCATTGAGCCATCTTTCCAATTCCTGGTTTCCATCCTTTAAAGTAGTGTCCAACTCTTCCCAGTCCTTTCATTAGCTGACAAATAGAAAGGCTGAGCTCAGTGGTGGCATTCTAGATGCCAGATGATATCAAGTGCTCTCAGGACAGGGATAGGATATGTGGTACAGGACAAAAATACACTGCTTCGTACAGCTGAATAAATAACACATGGGGCCGGGCGGTGGTGGCACACGCCTTTAATTCCAGCACTCGGGAGGCAGAGGCAGGCGGATCTCTGTGTTCGAGGCCAGCCTGGTCTACAGAGCGAGATACAGAACAGGCACCAAAACTACACAGAGAAACCTTATCTCGAGGAAAAAAAAACTATAACAGATGGGGACACCCATGATATATTGTAAGATACTGATCCTTAAAGAAACTGAAGAGGCACGGTTTTCCCAAGCACTTAGGAGTCAGGGGCTGAGGATCATATATATATTCCCAGCCAGTGAGACCCTGCCTCAAAAACAAACAAATAAATAATAAAAATAAAAAAGAAAAGAAAAATTGAAACACAAATCAAGGCCACACTTAGTAGTGCATGCCTTTAATCACAGCACTCAAGAGGTACAGGCAGGTGGATCTCTTGTGAAGCCAGCCTGGTCTACATAGCAAGTTCCAGGCCAGTAAGGGATATATGGTGAGATATCCCACATCAAAAAAATGTAACACCAACAAAAAAATACTCTGAAAATAAGAAGCAATGATAGACATTACATAACCTGCATTTCCAGCTCCTGACCACCAGGGGGTATTCTAGTGCCACACAGGAGAATCAGTGGCATTGAAATGATCTCACAAAATTCTTTTTAACATTTTCCCTGTGTGATTTAAAGGATGTATACCTAGAAAAAATTAGGCATCTTACCTGTGTGTTAGGATACAGATGAGGAGGTGGAGGAGGAGGTAATGCTCCTGGAGCATAAGGGTAACTGGGGTTACCAAAATTCATGACACCTGGAGCAGAAAAGTAAGTAGGAGCAAGCAACTGCTGGGGTGGTGGTTGTCCTGGAGACATGGACACTGGTGGTGGGTAGAGACCCGGATTGGGCAGAGGTGCTGGTGACTGATGGGGATGTAAACCTAGGCAAAGAAAGACAAACAAAAACTGTAAAGGAGGATACCACCTTTATCATGGGTTGGCTTATCTTGGACCACTGAGCACAACAGGTTAGATTGTCCTTAAGATGGACTTATAAAATTGAGTTTGCTACATAAACAGCCAGGGTGGTCAGCATCATTGGATAGCATGACAGTGCTGAAAAAGGCAGGGTTTGTAGAGTCCCTAACACAGATCCTTGCACACTATAAGCACACAAGAGGGATGCAAGCGTACCTGGGTGAGGAAGGTGCATTTCTGGTTGTACAATCATGCCCTGGGGAGGCAGTGGGGCAGGGCTGTCACCATGGGTATAGATTGGTCCCTGGAACTGCACTGTAAGATATATTGAGATTCTTATAAACCCCAACGCTTCATACCACATCAGCAACTCTTTCTGTCCTGCAGACCTTTAATGCTCTAAATCTTCCATATGAAGAAAATAGCAACTAGACAATGTGAGATAACCACTGTGAAGTCAGAAGGGAATTAAACGGTAGAAGGCTGGACACTGACAAGAAAGGTATCCCAACAATAAGAAAGAACTCACATGGATCATAGTAATGTCCCTCCATGATACTGATATGCACAGGAGGAGCAGGGGGCTCTGGCACAGGTCTCTGCCGCTGGGATGAATAACGTTTAGCTCGACCACCCTGGACACCCTGAGATAAAGAGATTTGATTAAGACTCCAGAAGAGTGATTCTCAAGTCAAATCCTACCTGTTTCTCAAGTCAACTCCTATCTGTTACAGGTTAGTAAAACTTGGTACATGGAAGTTTTTAATAAATATGTATAAACTGGACTGAAAATTTGGTGAAAAATATCAGCATTTGAATGAACCCAAATCCTCTACATTTCTGAGGTTCAAATTAAAACAAAACAAATCCAATGAATAATCAATGGAAAAACTGCTATCAAGAACTTATATGGGGGGGCTGAAGAGATGGCTGTTTTTCTAGAGGACCTGGGTTCAACTCCCAGCACCTACATAGCAGCTCACAAATGTCTATAACTCCAGTTCCAGGGCTTCTGACACCTTCACAAGACGTATGTGCAGGAGGGAAAAAAGGAACATAAATTATAAAAGAAAAAAATTTAAAAAGCTGGGCAGTGGTGGTTCACACTTTTAATCCCAGAACTTGGGAGGCAGAGGCAGGTGGGTCTCTGTGAGTTTGAGGCCAGCCTGGTCTACAAAGCGAGTTAGTTCCAGGACAGCCAGAGCTGTTACTCTCAGAGAAACGACGTCTCAAAAAAACCCAAACAACAACAACAAAACCCCACCAAACTTATACTGGCTGGCATAACAGCCTAAGCCTGTAGCCTCAGAACTCAAGATTCAAAGCAGGAGGACTGAGTTTGAAGCTTACCTGAGCTATATGATAGATTCCAGGCCAGCCTGTGTTGAAGGATAAGAGACCATCTCAAATAATAAAAAGAGCTTATTTGGGTTTTAACAGTGAAAAAATGTAGTGGTCTCAATGAGAGTGAACCACATTTGAATACCTGAATACCCCAGTTAGTGGAACATTTGGACAAGACCAGGAGGTGTGGCCTTGTTGAAGGAGGTGTGTCACTGGAATGGGCTTTGTGGTTTCAAAAGATGGGCCGGTCCAGGTGTGCTCTCTCTGCCTCCTACTTTCAGATCAAAACGTCAGCTCTCAGATGATCCTGCTGCCATGTCTGTGCTTTGCCACCACGGCCTCTAGCCCTCCGGAAGCCCAATTACATGCTTTCTTTTCTAAGTTGCCTTAGTCATGGTGTTTTGTCACAGTAACTAAGGTCCAGGCATAGTGGTGCACACCTTTTAGTTGAGAGGCTGACAGATCTCTCTAAGTCCAAGGCCTGCCTAGTCTACATAGGGAACTCCAAGCCAGCCGGAGCTAAACAGTGAGATTCTATCTCAACACTTTTTTGACAGTACTGGAAGCTGAATGAAGGCTGTCATGCATTCTCTACCACCAAGTATACACAGCCCCAGTCCCCCTCCTTCCCATTTTGTACCATTTCTTCAATCCGGTTAAACTGAGGTGGAGGTCCTGCTCCCATATGGATGTGATTGGGCATACCTGTAATACACCAAAAGTCACTGGTTGAATGCACATATAAGTGAATAGGAATCAAAGGTCATCAAGAAAATAAGTGCAGCTGGGCATGGTGGTGCATGCCACTAATCCCAGCACTTGGGAGGCAGAGGCAGGTGGGTCTCCATTAAGTTCGAGGCCAGCCTGGTCTACAAATCAAGTTCCAGGCCAGCCAGGGCTGTTACACAGAGAAACCCTGTCTTGAAAAACCAAAAGAAAAGAAAAAAAAATGCATTCTTCCCTTCTTTTAAACTAGCAAAATTCCTTTTAAAACCATATGCTTAACTTGTCACTCTTGCAGAGGACCTGGGTTCAGTTCCCATCGACCACACGCAAGCTTACAACCATCTGTAACTCTAGTTCCAGGGCATCCAATGCCCTCGCATGTACACACATCAACTCAGGTGCACACACACATAAAACAAATATTTTAAACTGTCTGCTTACTGTCAATGCTAGCATTTGAAAATTTGCCCTTGTTGCCCAACATCTTTATTATAACAACAAAGTCCTTGAAAAAAGACTGGCAAACTCAAGTTCAAATTTTTCGTACTAAATAAGGTATTTCTCTATATAGAAACTTTAGGAGGTTGTAATTAGCACATTAGGAAACATACCATAAAGTGCTGGCCCAAATGTTTTCTAACAACACTAGCTATAAGAAAGAGAGTACATTCTCTCTGGACAAAAGTGACTTAGAATAAAAAGATGGCTCAATGGTTACAGCACTCACTGTTCTTGCAGAGGACCCAGGTTTGATTCCCAGCACTCACTTGGTGGCTCAAAGCCACCAATAACTCTAGTTCTAGGGAATCCTATCCCCTTCTTCTGACCTTGGCCTCCTCAGGCATCAGACATGTATATTGCACAATTATACATGCAGCCAAAATACATTCATAAAGTAAATAAATCCTAAAAATTTTATGTTTGTTTGTGTATATATGTGACCAAAGAAGTCAGAGATGTATTGGCTCCCTGAAGCCGCAGTTCTAGGCAGTTATGAACTGCTTGATGTGGGTGCTGGGAATTGAACTGGGGTTCCTCTGCAAGAACAAGCCCTATATGCTCTTAAGCAGTGAGCCATTTCTCTAGTCCTAAAGCAAATACATCTTTTTTTTGGTTTTTCAAGACAGGTAGGGTTTCTCCGTGTAGCTTTGAATCTCGCTCTATAGACCAGGCTGGCCTCGAACTCAAGAGATCTGCCTGGCTCTGCCTCCCGAGTGTGGGAATAAAGGCGTGTGTCACTGCAGCCTGGTGCAAATAAATCTTAAAAATAAACAAATAAGTAAGCAAGTAAGTAAAAAAATAAGATGGGGGTAGGAGGTGGGGGTGGCTCACACCTTTAATCCCAGCACTCGGGAGGCAGAGGCAAGTGGATCTCTGAGTTTGAAGCCAGCCTGGTCTACAGAGTTTCAAAACACCCAGAGCAATACAGAGAAACCCAGTCTTGAAAAACCTAAATAAATAAGTAAAAATGATTTTTTTAAGTTAAAGGGGAATGTTTTATAGACAGTCTCCCAAAGATAGTAAAGTATCAGTACAAAAAGTTAAACTTCTCTGTCCAGAGACCAACTAACTCTAGGATGAATACAGTTTATACTAATTTTCAGTGCTCAAAAGTTGCCTGTACCAGCCCAGAGACTCCTCAGCTGGAACTGACCTGAAAGCCTCCTCCCTGGTAACTAGCTTGTGTGGTACCAGAAGACACCATGCAGGTTTCCAAAGGAAAGACGTAATCAGTGATACCTGGCTAAGACATCTATGAACCACAATGAGGACCAGCATGGGCCAGATAACCCAAGGGTGTAGAGGGGCACCCAAAGCTTGGTGGGAAACAACAGCTCTCTAAATGGACTTAAGATCCACTCAACAAGAGGGAGATCATGCCTGGTACTGGAAGCCTAGCCAACTACCCACGGTAGTGAAGTAATGGATCTCGGAGGAGAATTCACAACCACCATTTTCCTAAGTCAGCATAATCTCTAACTACCTTCTAAATATCTGTCCTTATACCCACAGATAATGTAGTCCTGACCACCCATCAAGGAAACTTCTCTTTGCAATAGATGAAGACCACTACAGAAAACCACAACCAATCAAAACTAGATACAAAGGCTAGAAAATGGTGGCACTCACACTTTTAATCCTAGCAATATGGATATGATAAGATAAAAAGGGAGATTATGGAATCTACTTTTAAAAAGGAACTACTTGTTTTAAATAGGATAAGTAATGAATTTTTTGTCTGAGTTTATCAAATATTACTGGACTGGACATTGTTAATATATATTGAGTTCTTTGTCTGAATCTGTCAAATGTTAATGGACTAGACATCATTAGTTTAATCTTGACTGTGTATATTGTATATACTTATTGGATATCATTTTTCTTGTATTAGTTATAAGCTTTTTTAAATTTTAGACAAAAAAAAGAGGGAAATGTGGTGGTACTGTGTTCCCCAAAATATTGTGCACACTAATAAACTTATCTGGGGTCAGAGAAGAGAACAGCCACAATATTAAACATAGAGGATAGGCAGTGGTAGCACACACCTTTAATCCTAGCATTCCAGAGGCAGAAATCCCTCTGGATCTCTGTGAGTTCAAGGTCACATTGGAAACAGACAGGCATGGTGACACACACCTTTAATCCCAGAAAGCGAGCCTTTAATCCCAGGGAGTGATGACAGAAAACAGAAAGGTATATAAGGCGTGAAGACCAGGAACTAGAAGCATTTGGCTGGTTAAGCTTTCAGGCTTCTAGCAGCACAGTTCAGCTGAGACCCATTCTGGATGAGGACTCAGAGGCTTCCGGTCTGAGGAAACAGGATCAGCTGAGGAACTGGCAAGGTAAGGTAGCTGTGGCTTGTTCTGCTTCTCTGATCTTCCAGCATTCACCCCAATAACTGGCCTCAGGTTTGATTTTATTAATAAGACCTGTTAAGATTCATGATACATTGGAGCACAGTCCCAACAGATACATCTATAAAACAACTTCCATACCTAAGAATCAGGGATCACTGAGGAAGAGGGGGGCAGAAAAATCTTAAGTGCCAAAGGATCGGGGAGTCCGCTGAGAGATTTTATTTCCTAGTATCAAAAGAAGGCACATGCATAAAATCTCACAAACCTGAGCCGAACAATGACAACAACAACAGACATGCCCAAGTGGACAGTGGAAAACCTACCAGGCTTAACCCTCTACAAAGACCTACAAGCAACTAAGGAATGCTAAGAGCAGGGAAGAGCCACCTGATCCAATACCAGTCAGCCCTGACAACACATAGACAAGTAACATACAGACTGAGCAGGGTGAACAATGATGTATTTAGGAATATAAATGTATAGACATATATGCATGTAGCAACAGTTAATAAAAAAGAGGCCATGAATTTCAAAGAGAGCAAGGAGGATGATATGGGAGGCTTTGGAAGGAAGGAAGGGGAAAATGATGTAATTATATTATAATCTCAAAAATTAAAAGGAATAATTAAAATAAAATCACCTGTACCAGAGTGCCAAAATTCCCAGTAATCATGAAGATTTCCAATCCTTAAGTTTGGCCTAGAGGGCTAGAGATGGCTCAGTGGTTAAGAGTACTGGCTGCTCCTGACCTGTGTTCAATTCCCAACATCCATATGGCAACTCAATCATCTATAATTCTATTCCCAAGGGATCTGATGCCTTCTTCTAGCCTCTGTGAGCACTTATACATGGTGCACAGACATGTGTGTTAGCAGAACACCTACACACAAAAATAAAAAAAAAATCTCCAAAAAAAGTTTGAGCTAGATTTCAAAAACTAAATGGTAACTGCTACATGTGCTTTTATTTTATTTTATTTTATTTTCAGAGACAGGGTTTTCTGTGTAGCCCTGGCTATCCTGGAGCTTACTATGCAGACCAGGCTGGCCTTGAACTCAGAGATCCAACTAACTGCCTCTGCCTCCTGAGTGCTGGGATTGAAGATGTATGCCACCACCTGCCAGTGCTATATGTGTTTTTAAAATTGATTAACTCAAAGTCCAATTCTTCCTTCTAGCTGCATTTTAAATACCCTAAAGCACCAGCATTCTATGTAGTTCTAGTGTCTCTCATCTGTCTCTAGAAAGAAGGACATCAGAAGGGCTTTCCTTTTAGAACAAACTATCCAGACTCAAATTCAAGTGTGTTTCTGTCTTCAAACAGTTAACCACTGGCTCAAACAGTTGGAAGATGCTCTATCTTCTGTCACTCCTTGTGCAAGAAGAGAAAATGAATCTTGACCGATGCACTAAGTACTGATGGGACAGGCTTGGGTAACACAGAAAACTACTCTGAGGACAGGCAGACAGACTGAGAATCTACACTTGTTAAGGAAAGAGCGCTTTCTGTCAGACACTCATTCCTTAGAGGGAAGTCCCAGGGACACAAGAAAATCTAGTCCCCAGCCTCTAGTGCTTACCTCGAAGCTCCCGTGGCTGGAGAAACGAAGGCTGTCCTGGACTCCAGTTCTGTTCTGCTATATTGAGCTGTGCCACATCTTGCTCCAGTCCACCTGTGGTAGAATCTACTGGAGCCTCCCAGTTCCCAGTCTTAGCAGCTGGAGGTGGAGTTGTTTCTGCGATTGTGGCTGCTGAAGTAAGCCCTTCAGATGGAGGAGGAACCTCCTCAGCAGCTTTGACTGCATCCCCAACTTTGGTCCGGGTCCTTCTTGCCCGGGAATAGGATTTCTTCTCAATGGGCCTGTCAGGAGCTGGTGGTACAGTGTCAGGAACAGTAGCTGGTGTCTCTGAGGCCACCTCTTCTTTCTCAGGACTGCCAAGCAACGGAGCATCTGGTTCTGGAGACGGATCCCTCATAGGAGTCTGCTCCAGACGCCGTGACCGGTAATTAGCTTCATGCTTATGAGTCTCACCAGACCGGCCACCATGCTGCCCACCAACCTCCACAGGCCTAAAACCAGTACGACCTTCCTTGAAGCCCCCAGATCGAGAATAATTCCTGGATGCAGACATGCGGCCAGTACCTGCTGCATTCCTGTTAATAAATGTCCTTGGTGGTAGGGTGCCCCCAGGACCCTGGTGGCGATGGGACTTGTTTGATCGATCACCAATCCAGTTTGGATCTCTTTGTGGAGGACTTCCAAATCTGAAACAGTAAAATTAAGAAAAACTTAAGAAAAGAGCCCTCCAAGTATATACTCGGAATCAGGGAGTTGTTCACACCACATACTTACTCACTTGAAAGATTAGAAATGCATTTAGAAAAGCAGAATATCAGTAATCTAAGCTCCTGAATTTCCTTACCGAGGTTTCCGGATTCTTCGGGGTTTGATGTCATCGGGATTGTGAGCGGATCGAATATCATAGCCATAAAGAGCAATGAGCTCCTGTCGGGACTTTGGGGCCTGTTCATCTTCACGGAACTTGTCATGCTCCCAGCGACCCTCATCCTTCCACAGCTTTCGCTGACGCCCTTTGGGTCTGGATCAAACCAACCAGAGGTGTCTTGAGACAATTAATACTTTGAAATTATCTCTCTACTAAAATGTAGCCTATAAAAACTTCCTATCTCAGGAGCCACAGGTTAAAGGCCATAGAGGTGTAATGATTTAGGATCTGAAGACAGACCACCCTGAATCTGGATCCCAGCTCCTTTACCACCAACAGTTACCAAATCTTTTCTTTTTCTTTTTTTTTTTTTTTTAAAGACAGGGTCTCGCCACGTAACTCTGGCTGGCCTGGAAATTGCTATATGTAGACAAGGCTGGCCTTGAACTCACCTCTCTTATATCCTCCTGCTTCTGCCTCCCTAGAGCTGAGATCAGGGGTCACACTAGCACACCCACCTCTTTTTGCGTTATGAGTCAGGGTCTCACTATGTAGCCCAAGCTGGCCTCAAGCTTATAACCATACTGCTTCAGACTCCTGAGTGCTGGGACTACAAGTGTATGATACCATGCCTAGCAACTAGTTACCAAGTACCGTAAGCTGTATTTCCCTCATCTGTACAGAAGGAATAATCCTAACACTTATCTTAAAATGTTCCGAGTAGTAAAGGAAACAATACAGGCGAAGAAGTCATCAAAGCATCCGACACAGCAAGCACTAAGCACAAGCTAGCCAGTAGTGGGAATAGCAAAAGATGGCTGTTACCGAACTTCCTCTTCCTGAGTCTGTCCTCGAAGATCATGCTCAAAGAAGAGCCCTTTCCTGGGTATATATGCTGGATTTTTCCGATCTTCATCATCATCCAAATGCTTAGGGCCTTTTTTACCCACTTTGTTCTCGACAGGCTCTGTGCTCTCCTGGAAGACAAAGGACTCCTTACTCTTCCAAGGAGGTGAGAGGCCCTATGCCAGCCCCCAAGTGGAGACTGTGCTGGGTACTGACCTGTCCATCCCCACTTTGCCTCTCTCCAGTCACAGTGCCTTTAGTATCAGGCTTTTCTTCTCCCTTCTCTTTTGCTGAGGAATCAGCAGCATCATTAGCCTCTGATTTCAACTCCACTTTGGAGTTTTCCTCTTCACTGTATTCTCCTTCTTCACCCTGAAAAAGTATCCCTGTTAATCATGGAGATGAGATCCGACCAGTAAGTTTTTATTTTCCATTCTTTTGGGAAGCATTTTCTGACAACCTTTTACTAGTATTAGAACGGAAACAAGCACTGCAAGTATGGCAGCACACGTGTACAAGCCAGCAGCTGAGAGACAAGACTACGTGTTCAAGATCCCTTCAGCTCATAGTAAGTTTAAGGCCATCCTGTGCTACATGAGACCCTGCCTCACAAAAACAAAACACATGGACTGGAGAGATAGCTCAGTTGATAAAATGCTTGCTGCAAAAGCATGAGGACCTAAGTTTAGCACCATGCACAAAGCCAGGCATGGTGGTACACATTTGCAATTCCAGAGCTGAAGAGACACAGACAGGGGATTCTCGGGGAATTGCTGGCCAGTTGACCTGACTCAATTGATAAGTCTCTGGTCTTCATGAGAGACCCTGTGTGAAAAAATGAAGTAGATAGCTCTAAGGAATAACACCTGAGGTTGCCCTCAGTCCTCCAGACACATATGCGCGCGCGTGCGCGCGCACACACACCATAAGTAATTCGAAAAAATGGATTACAGTAGAAATTACCAATCTTTCTGATTATGTGGCTTGAGGTGGCACACACCTATAATCCCAGCAATTCAGGAAACTGAAGTGAAAAGACTTAGAGTTCAAGGCTAGCCTGGGTATCCCATTAATATCTTACCTAAAAAAATGAAATAAGCCGGGCGGTGGTGGCGCACGCCTTTAATCCCAGCACTTGGGAGGCAGAGCCAGGCGGAACTCTGTGAGTTCGAGGCCAGCCTGGGCTACCAAGTGAGTTCCAGGAAAAGGCGCAAAGCTACACAGAGAAACCCTGTCTGGAAAAACCAAAAAAAAAAAAAAAAAAAGAAAAAAAAATGAAATAAAATAAAAAGTAGAGTCCTTCTGAATCTAGCATCTCCAACTCTCAGGATTTCTATAAGCAGGCTGAGAAAATATGAAGACAAAAACTTTCCATGGCTCGTGTGGAGGTCAGAGGACAATTTGGGAGTCAGTTCTCTCCTTCCACGTGTGGATTCCAGAAACTAAACTCAGGTTGACAGGCTTTATGGCAAGTACCCTTACTCACTGAGTAATCTCAAGAGTCTCCATACCCCCTCTTTTGGAGCTTGGGATTGAATCCAAGGCCTGGGGTATATTTATTCCACTGCTGAACTGCAGTCCTAGCTTGCTTACAGTTCATGACTTACTTTTCCCCCTCTTACTGTGGATCAGACTCAGGTTCTCAAACAGGCAATACAAGCACTAACCAGTGAGTTATGTGCACTACAGGCCCAAGTCACACCAATTTCTTGTTTTAGAGACAAGAGTCTCACTATGCAGCACTGCCTGGTTTGAACTTGTTTTGTAGACCAGGTTGGCCTGGAACACAGAGAGATCTGCCTGCCTCTGCCTCCCAAGTGTTAGAATTAAAGGCATGCACTCTCATGCCCAGCCTCTAAGACTGTATTTTTTTTAAATATTTACTTATTTTATGTATATGAGTGACCTGTCTTCATGCATACCAGAAGAGGGAATCAGATTCTATTACAGATGGTTGTGAGCCACCATGTGGTTGCTGGGAATTGAACCCAGGACCTCTGGAAGAGCAACCGGTGCTCTTATCTGCTGAGCCATTTCTCCAGCCCCTAAGATTGTACTTTTTATGTCTATGATAGGAGTACTGAATTTCCTACAGCATGAGATTCCCAGAGAAAACAAACCCTATCCACAACAACATCGTAAAATTAAGATTTTTATCTGGAAAATCTTAGAGAATGACCTGCCATAGAAACGAAAACAAACAATGCATGAGTACTCTCTCTGAATTATTACTCGCCCATTACCACCCCTTTTTTCTCTGAGACAAGGTCTTGCCATGTCTTGACTGGCCTGGAACTTCCTATGTAGTCTGGGTTGGCCTCAAACCTGCCTCTCCCTCCTGGTGTTGGGATTAAATGTGTGAGCCACCACACCTTTTTTTTCTCCTTCTCTTAACACACAAATTTGAATAATACAGTTCCTAACAATGTTAGGTCTCTCGGGTGGGTGGTGGTGCATGCCTGTAATCCCAGCACTGGGGAGCCGGAGGCAGGCAGGATCTCTGAGTTCCAGGACAGTTGAAGCTACACAGAGAAACCCTGTGGGGGTGGGGAGGAAGAGGTATCATTAGCACACTAGTGGGGAAAGAAATGAAGGTATGGCTAGCTCCACATAGGGAAAAGCAGTGGCTAGAAAATGTGGTCAAACTCTCCTCCCCATTCTCTCCAAACCTGATGCTTAGGAGACATAACTGGATTACAGAGGGAGGTTTACAGAGCTATTAAGAATGCAAAGAAATGGGCTGAAGGGAAGGTGGTTTAGTCACTAATGATGTGTTAAACCTCTGCCACCTGGCCTCTTACTTCTTACTCTCCTACTGTACCTGGCACCTAACCTAAATCAGACTGCCTTCTCACTTCAGGCTAGCCTACCAGGATCTGGTAAAGATACCATGTGAGAGTCCTGGCTAGGCTTGAAGCTTTCAATGTTCTGTCCTTTTTTATTTTATTTTATTTTTTTTGGTTTTTTCGAGACAGGGTTTCTCTGTGTAGCTTTGCGCCTCTCCTGGAACTCACTTGGTAGCCCAGGCTGGCCTGGAACTCACAGAGATCCGCCTGGCTCTGCCTCCCGAGTGCTGGGATTAAAGGCGTGCGCCACCACCGCCCGGCGTTCTGTCCTTTTTTAAAATAAAGCTAAGCTTGCCTAATTGACCTAGACAAACAAGCCAATTAATCCCTCTTTCCATTTCTATGTTTATACTCCAAACCACTCATCATCTGGATGTTTTGTCTTCAAAGTGTTTTGAGTGACAAGTCTCAGAAAAGAGATGGAGAACTAAAGAAGCTTCACTACACCTGCAACGTGACAATCAGTCTTTATCTACAGCTTAACAAGCACCCTTGATTCTTTTCATCCTCTGCAATTCTATTGTTTTCCCTCTCTGGGGGATGAGAGGATGGTAATCATTCAGTACTTTCCTTACTCCTAGGTTATGGAACAGACAAACAAGAACTTGCTCAGTGTACATACATACTTCTTCACTATGCTCTTCTACTCGTATGCTCCCTGAATTTCACCCTTAAATTGATTTTTATTCTATGCATATATGTGTGCACCTGAATGTATGTTAAGTGGACCACATGCATGCAGAAACCTGTGGCTGTCAGGAGGCATAAGATCCCTTGGAACTGGAGTTACAGGTGGTTGTGAGCTGCCATGTGGGTGCTGGGAATAGAACCAGGGTCTTCTGCAAGAGCAGTAAGAGTTCTTACCCATCGGTTTCCCACCCTCACCTCTGTCCTCTTTCTTTCCTTCTTTCTTTCTTGAGGCAGGGTCTAATTATATAGCTTAGGCTGGCTTGGAATTACGTAGCTGAGACTGGCTTTGAACTAGTGAATTATCCCCATCCCAAGAGCTAGATTTATAGGCATGCTACCATGTCCAGCTAATTAATTTAAAGATGTAAAAGTAGTATTAGCACTATTAATGAGGGAACTTTGTTTTATACAACATTTTATTTAGGCTGTGATGGAATGTCAATGAAGAAACGTGTATATTCCTATTGAGAAACTAATTTTGCTGGTTGTAATGATACACACCTTTGATACCAGTTTAGGGAGGCAGAAGCAGGCAGATATGTGAATCTGAGGCTAGCCTGGTCTATACACAGTGAGTTCCAGGGATAAAAATCGAGACCCAATATTACACGCAAACACAAAGAAAGATACCTAATTTTGTTAACTGGGCAAAAAGAACAGCATAGTGCTGAGGAGACTTCAAGTCAGATTCAAAGCCTATAGTCCTTGTATGCCCTACCTCCACACAATAATAAATGTCAAAGATGTGTAAGTATGTTGTGAAATATTATTTTAAGCTGTGTTACTCTGCCTGTCTACAAACACCTGATTGGTCTAATAAAGAGCTGAATGGCCAATAGCCAGGCAGGAGAGAGAAGTAGCCAGGGCTGGCAGGCAGGGAGAATAAATAGGAGAAATCTGGGAAAAGAAGATCTAGAAGCAAGAAGATCAAGGAGCGAGAAAAGAAGGGAACAACCACCCAGCCACCCACCAGCCAGAGGATAAGAGTGAAAATAAGATATACAGAAGTAAGAAAAGGAAAAAGTCCAGAAGCAAAAGGTAGAGGGGACAATTTAAGAAAAGCTGGCAAGAAATAAGGCAAGCTAAGGTGGGCATTTATAAGAAAAAGTCTCCATGTGTGATTATTTGGAGCTGGGTGGTGGGCCCCCAAACAATAAAGAGTAATAAAACAACCAACGACACAAGTGTCTGCAGAGGCTAGGAAAAGGTGTCAGATCCCAAGAAGCTAAAGTTACATACAGGTGGCTGTGAGCCACCCACAGTGGGCCTGGGACCTGGGACTGAACTCAGGTTCTCTGGAAGAGCAGCAAATGCTCTTAACTGCTGAGCCATCTCTCCAGCATATCTAATAATAAATTTTAAAGAATTTGTTTATTATTAATACACTAAAAGAGAACAAAGCACAATTCTTCAACAGGTGTGACTGACTCACACCCTGAACAAGTGCTTTAGAAATCTGTTCACTACAGAGTTTGTCTCCTCAGTCATTGCCCACAAGTCTCTGAGGAAGGCCTGGATATGTAGGTGTAGACATGAGGCCTGGCTCCATCTGCAACTATGTGAAAGGAGACTTACACTCCCATGTACCACTCAGACAGAGCCCGGGTGGTGAGACCACCTGGGTTTTCCACACTTGGGACTTTATTTATTTAGAGACAGCTACAGTAGGCTTCTTCTTTTTTTTTTTTTTTTTTTTTTTTTTTGCTTTTTCGAGACAGGGTTTCTCTGTGTAGTTTTTGGTGCCTGTCCTGGATCTCGACCTGTAGACCAGGCTGGCCTCAAACCCACAGAGATCCACCTGGCTCTGCCTCCCAAGTGCTGGATTAAAGGCATGCACCACCACCGCCCGGCTAGTAAGCTTCTTTTTAAGAAGAGAAACAAGTTATGAATCTGCCAAGCATTCTACTATGAATGAGATACTTTCCCTAATTTCTTTGAGGATGCATTGTGCTTTAGCTTGTTTATACGGTGCATTACATGCATTAATCTACACATGCAACACCAACCTTGCACCTGTGGGATGAAGACATTTGTTCATGATGTATGATTCTGTTTTTTTTGGGTTGTTTGTTTGTTTGAGACAGTGTTTCTCTGTGTAGCTTTGGAGCCTGTCCTGGAACTCACCCTATAGACCAGACTTGAACTCATAGAGATCCTTCTGCCTCTGCTTCCCAAGCACTGGGATTCAAGGTGTGCCTCACCACTGCCTGGTTATGATGTATGATCTTAATGTGTTTGCAAGTATTTTGCTGAGAACGTCTGCATTTCATTCATCTGAGAAAATGGTTTGTTGTTTTTGTTATGTTTTTACCTGTTTTTGATTCCAGGATGATATTGGCTTCATACAATGAATTTGGCAGTGTTCCTTCTCTATTTTGTGGAACAAATTAAGAAGGACCAGGAGGAGATCTTCCTTAGAAGTTTGACAGAATTCATCAGTGAATCCATTTGGTCTCAGGTTTTCCTTTGTGGGGAGATGTGCTGGCTAGTTTTATGTCAACTCGGAATATTCTTAGAGAGCTGGAATAATCTCAGAGAAGGGAACCTCAATAAAGAAAATGCCTCTACAAGACTGGGCTGTAGCCATGCCTGTAGAGCATTTTCTTAATTAGGGAATGATGTGGGGCCCAGTCCTTTGTGGTTGGTGCTATTCCTGGTCCTAGGTTCTGTTAAGAAAGCAGGCTGAGCAAGTCATGAGAAGCAAACAGTAAGCAGCACTCCTCATGGCCTCTGTATTAGCTCCTGCCTCCAGGTTCCTGCCTGGTTTGAGTTCCTGCCTTGGCTTCCTGTTGTAGAATATTCCCTTACACTGTATGAAGATGTGTCACTGTGACTGATTTAATAAAGAGCTGAATGGCTATTAGCTAGACAAGAAGAGGTTGGTTAGGTGTGACTTCTAGGGACAGAGAACTCTGGGAAGAAGAAAGGAGGAATCGCCAGAAGATGCAGAGGGAACACACATGCAGGAGTAAAAGCCATGAGTCACTTGTCAACATGTAGATGAAGAGAAATGGGTTAATTTAAGTTATAAGAGCTAGTTAGAAACAAGCCTAAGCTAAGGCCGAGCTTTCATAATTAATAAGTCTCCAAGTCGTTTTTTTTGTAAGCTGGTAGCCCCAAAAAAACCAGGATATGTGAGTCAAATAAACCCTTTCCTCCCATGTTGCGTCTTGTCATGGCATTTCATCACAGCAATAGTAACCCTAAGACAGGACACCTGATTATGGCCAAGAATACTGCAGTTTTCTGACATCTCCAATATCCTGGGGTCTCCACTGCAACTTAGACATCACCTTTACAGCCTCAAGCACTAGCCTCCCAGAGCCTTGATGCAGGGAATCCAACCAGGCACACACTGCCTGACTTCAGTTCCTTTCTTGAACCTTAATGCAAGCCTCTGGCAAACCTCTCATTCTTGAATCCTGCCCAACTATACCTCTTAAAAGAGGTATTTGCCGAGCAGTGGTGGCACACGCCTTTAATCCCAGCACTTGGGAGGCAGAGGCAGGCAAATCTCTGTAACTTCAAGGCCAGTCTGGTGTACACAGTGTGTTTCAGGTTAGACAGGGCTGCCCTATCTCAAAAACAAAACAATAAAAATGTTTGTCTGGCTCATATTTTCTCCCATATTCTGTCTTTTTTCTTTCCCTTACTACGTATTCCTCCAATTTTTAACTAAACTGGAGACTCTCCCAAATAAAAAACAAATCACCTTTTGACCTTGAAGTATTCTCTCTAGCTTTCCTTTCTGTCAAAATTTTCTTTGTTCTTTTACTCAATACTGGGTTGAATCAAATGCCCTCCCACTGAGCTCCAGCTCCAGCCCTTAAAAAAAATTTTCTTTTATTTACTCTTTTTTGTTTTGTTTCATTTTTCGAGACAGGGTTTCTACATGTAGTTTTGGTGCCTGTCCTGGATCTCATTCTGTGGACCAAGCTGTCCTCAAACTCACAGAGATCCGCCTGGCTCTGCGTCCCGAGTGCTGGAATTAAAGGCGTGCGCCACCATGCCTGGCCCTAATAACAACATTTTTTAAAAAAGGTTTCTTGGACCACTCTGGGAAAAATGGAAGTAACACATCTTTTTGGTTGTTTTGTAATACTGGAGAATGAACCCAGGGCCTTGTAAATACTTAACAGTCTATCACTGAGCTACAAACCCCAACCCTTTTTCAATTTTTTTTTTTTTTTTTTTTTTTTGGTTTTTCGAGACAGGGTTTCTCTGTGTAGCTTTGCGCCTCTCCTGGAACTCACTTGGTAGCCCAGGCTGGCCTCGAACTCACAGAGATCCGCCTGGCTCTGCCTCCCGAGTGCTGGGATTAAAGGCGTGCGCCACCACCGCCCGGCTTGTTTTTTGTTTTTTGAGACAGGGTTTCTCTGTGTAGCTGTCCTGGAACTTATTCTGTTGACCAGGCTGGCCTTGAACTCACAGAGATCCACCAGCCTCTGCCTCCTGAGTGCTGGATTACAGACATGAGCCACCACCGCACAGCCCTTTTCAAATTTTTATTCTGAAGCCTGGCATGGAAGGATATGCTAAGGCAGAGGCAAGTGGATGTCTGTGAGTTCAGGGCAGGCTTGATCTACAAAGCAAGTTTCAAACCATCAAGTACACATAGATCCTGTCTCAAATTGAAATAAAAGAAAAGAATTCTGAGACAAGATTTTTCTATGTTGCCAGGCTGGCCTCTGTGACCTTCTGCATCACCATCTTAAGTATCTGAGATTAGAGATGAGTACTACAATGCCCGGCTTCAGCAACACAGTTTATTTCTCTTCAATCTCTACATGGAATGATAGCTTCTAGACAGCAAAACCCAAACCTTTACAACCAAACTATGTTAACAAGGTGTGTCTTAAACTTTCAACTCTAAATGTATACACAAAAGTACTGACAGCCATAGCACTTGCATAGTGCTGGTTTAGGAGGAAGAGAGATGTAAAGATACCAAAGAACAGGAAAACCCTGAAATAACCAACAGTCATTGACTGCTGAGACCAGGAGGGGTTATACCATGTAAATGGAAAAGCTTATGATACAATCTCAGGGTCAAACTGACCAGCTGTCAAGGCTCCTTCTTGAACACGAACAGCAAAGAGACGACTGAGAAGACAACAAACCAATCAGCACAAGAAAGTTCCAGCACAAGCTGGGGAGAAGAACGAAAACAAGAAACCTCAGAAAGCTTCCCTTACTTTTCACCATCACAGAAAAATGGGAGAGGGAGCTCTGTGAAGTGAGAAAAGGTACAGTACCTTTCTAACAGTACCCTAAACATGCTTTCTTCTAAAGGGTAAGAAAAACAAACTCATACAAAATGAATAGGTAAATGGCTGGAGAGACTTCCAGTAGTTAAGAGCACTTGTTGATTTTTGAAGAGGATCCAGGTTCAAGTCCCAGCACTCATAATGACTCACAACCATGAATACTCAAGTTCTAGGGATCCAATATACTTTGAGGGCACTAGGAATACATGTGTTGCACATACATACACGTAGGCAGAATATTCATACATATAAAATAAATAAATCTTAAAAATAACTATGTCTTAAGTCTACCCTCGTTGTGACCTCTGTATAAATCGGGACCCTTTAACACCCCCTCTCCACCTGCAAGCCTGCACAATGTACCTAAAGAAAAAAGGTCTCCCTCCCACTCAAGGACAGAATCCTGTGGTTAAGAAAAATAAGGTTCAGGCCAGCTAGGGCTATAGAAAAAGAGACTGTGTCTCAATATAATAAAAAAATTAATAAAAACAACTAGGCATGTTCTCCTCTTAACACCTTCATTAGATTCTCTTTAGATTATCCTTCTTGGGTAATTTTCGGTTTTGTTGTTGTTCTTTTTTATTTATTTTTTCTTTCTTTTTGAGACAGGGTTTTACTATGTAGCTTTGGCTAGCCTAGGACTTGCTGGGTATACCAAGCTGACCTCAGACTCAGAGTCACCTGCCTCTGCCTCCCATTGAAAGTGTGTGCCACCATGTACAGCTTTATCCTTCTTTTCATCAATAACTTCAACTAACTGCCTCATTCTGACTTGCCCCGAAATCCTTTGCTGTGGTATCCATCAAGCATCCCAAGAAGGAATATTTGAGTAGAACCCCCTCAAAGTTTTTAGCAGCGTTCACAGGCTGAACTGGCAGCCACACTGAACTGCATTTCCTGCTGCAGCTGACAGCCACATAGAAAGGATAAAAAGAACAGCATTCCTACAAACAACAAAGGCATGCCAGACCATACCCTATCAAAAGTATAACTTCACACACCTTTTTTTGTTTTTGTTTTTTTGAGACAGGGTTTCTCTGTGCAGCTTTGCGCCTTTCCTGGGACTCACTTGGTAGCCCAGGCTGGCCTGGAACTCACAGAGATCCGCCTGGCTCTGCCTCCTGAGTGCTGGGATTAAAGGCCTGCGCCACCACTGCCTGGCTAACTTCACACACTTTTAAGTCCAGCACTCGGGAGGTAGAGGCAGGCAGAACTCTGAGTTCATGACCAGCTTAGTCTATAGAACAAGTTCCAGGACAGCCAAGGCTACACAGAGAAACCCTGTTCTGGAAAAAAAAAAAAAAAATGCATTGCCTCATTATGCTGGGTGGTGGTGGTGGTGGTGGTGGTGGTGGTGGTGGTGGTGGTGGTGGTGGTGGTAGTGCACGCCTTTAATCCCCCAATTTGAGAGGCAGAGACAGGCAGATGATCTCTATGAGTCAAGGCCAGTCTGGTCAACAAAGTGAGTTCTAGGACAGCCAGGGCTACACAAAGAAACCTTCTCTTGAAAAACAAAAACAAAATAAATAAATATATATATAATACACACCGTGTCTTGAAAAACTAAAAAAATAAAAAAAAATAAAAAAAAAATAAATCATGTATTAAACTTTAACACTTGAAAGCCTCATAGGTTCCTTTCTCTTCAAACATCCCAAACCTGGTTGGGTGTTGCTTAATGTTAGAGCACCAGCCTCAGGGACAAGCCCTGGATTGGAGCACAAAAAAATAAAATTAAAAAGCCATCTAAAACCTAAGCCACTACTGAATTTCTGAGTACTATCTCTTTTTTAGTTATTAACTCCATTAATCAATCTAAACACTGACTTCTTCTTTAGATACCAAATTAGATTTAATTGAGGGGGAAGTCCTTTAGTCCAACCAAAATAACTCTCACACTGGTCCACATCTTGCCAGTCTCACTAGATGTCTAGGGAACCACCATCAAGTTCTTTAGATTATCTTAAAACACATTTTTTAAACCCTTTTTTGGAGACAGTTTGCTATGAAGCCAAAGGCTGGCCTTGAACTCTTGATCCTTTAGAGTGCTGGAATTATAGGTGCGTTGTATATTATGACACCTAATTCCTAAGAAACTTCGATGTCTACTTTGTAGTCTTGCCTCATCCACGGTTGATGTTGGGCAAACCTTCTGTGCAATTTCTCTCTTTGCTCTCAGAATTACATCCAAACTCCTTTATAAACAGAATGGTAAGCCACTCTACACTTACAGTGAGGGGCTGGAGACTCAGCAGTTAAAAAGCACTCACTGCTCTTGCGGAGGACCTACCTGGTTTCAGTCCCCACCACTCACATGGTGGCTCAAAACCACCTGTACACGTGAACACGGTGCAACACATAAGTTCAGGCAAAACACACATACACATAAAATAAATCTTAACAAGCCGGGCGGTGGTGGCGCACGCCTTTAATCCCAGCACTCGGGAGGCAGAGCCAGGCGGATCTTTGTGAGTTCGAGGCCAGCCTGGTCTACAGAGCGAGATCCAGGAAAGGCGCAAAGCTACACTGAGAAACCCTGTCTCGAAAAACCAAAAAAAAAAAAAAAATCTTAACAACAACAACAACAAAAAAAGTTTCATTTCCTGTTTTGTTTTTTCCTGATAGGGTCTTGTTTATAGTCCAGGATGGCCCTGAACTTATTTGAATTTATATTTTGCTGAATTTATTTCTATGCCACAAGCTTTTGTTTTCTCAGGTTTTCTAGAGTACTGTTTCCTTCTAAAATAGGAATTTTGAAATGTTTACTGTTACACTCCCAAGTTGTAATACAGTCTAAGACAGTCAAAATCCTAGGAGATATATAGGGCTGAGGTAGTAGCCTCAGTGGTAGAACACTTCTCTGCATGCGCCTACCTCTAGGCTCAAGCCCTAGAATCACAAAACAAACAAATCACAAAATCTAACTAATGAAACAAACATATTTATAGAGCAAATCCTTGACCCACAATCCAATTCTCCCCAAATATAACCCCATCACCAAAATACAAAACTCAGAAGTCTGTTCAACAACTCTGGGGCAGATCATTCTAGGACAAAGTTATTCTGACAGTATCTACAGTTATCTAGCCAATCAAAACCAAACATGCTGTCTGCCCTGGGAAACACTCCCATAGACACCAAAAAGCCCTATCTATAAAATAAGGGATGGATTTTTTTCCCCACAAACCATTCAGAATGGGGAGGAGGGGTCCAAGTGGCTGTCTTTTCAACCTAGATGGTATAAAGTGAACTGTAACATCTCCTAAAGCATTTCAGTATCTTCTCATTTTCTGCCTCGAAACTCACTTTGTTCAAATGAGAACAAACCAATTAGCACTGTGATCCATAGCTTGAAGAGACATGGCTGCCAGTTGCTGTCACCAGCTCAACAAGATCTTCTCTAAAAGACTTTTTGTCATTGTTTTTCGAGACAGAGTTTCTCTGTGTACCCCGAGCTGTGCAGAACTTGCTCTGAAGACCAGGCTGGCCTTGAACTCACAGAGATCCACCTGCCTTTGCCTCCAGGGCTGGGATTAAAGGCGTGTGCCACCACCACCACCACCACCGCCCTGCTTCTAACAGAGTTTTAAAAGCATAAATGAAGAACACACAAACAGAGAAACAAGTCAGGGAATTTTTGTACCACACAAATGTAGGTTTTAAAAAGACATTTTCAGGGCTGGAGAGATGGCTTAGTGGTTAAGAGCACTGACTGCTCTTCCAAAGGACCCTGGTTCAATTCCCAGCACCCACATGGCAGCTCACAACTGTCTGTAACTCCAATTCCTCAACACCCATGGCAAAACACCAATGTACATGAAATAAAAATAAATAAATTTAAAAAAAAATAAAAAATAAAAAGACATTTTCTGACCATAAGGAAAAAGAATCTATCACACTCACTTCTGAATCTTCTGCACTTTCATAATCGGAAAGAACAGCTGCAAAGAAAACACAAATATGTGAAAGGGGGGAAGAAAACAATAAAAATTATTATAACTACATTCCTGACTGATCGCTTTGGATCAGGCTAAAAACCTCAATTTGGACAGCAACTTTTGAGACGCGTGAAATTATAGTTTCTATTTATTTACAGATGGAGAAGTTGGTGACTATGCTGACAAAAAACTATGGTATTGGCAGGCGGTACTGTAAGTAACTGCAGTGATCTCAATCTGTCACCTTCCAGAAAGGAACCAAAACAACCTTGCTCGTGATCCCTATGGTACAAAAAGCTACTCCTGGGCACACTCCCCGAAAAAAAATAAACTTAACAATCCGAGAGAAGTCCACCGTTAGAAATACGTGGTCTCGGTTCAGGTCCAAAAAACTCATCACGGTAAAGTAAAATCACTCACCATCGCCTTCCATGCCATCTTCACTCTCCTGAGAGGAAGAAGATGACACCGGTTAGAGCTGTAATATCCAGACTTGGGGAGCCCACCCGCAATTAAATGTGAGGGAGAACCGAAAAATCAACACGAATGGTTGACTAAGGATATGGGGACAGGTAAATCTTTATAAGTCACAATCAAGAAGGCCAATTCTCTACACCTCCAGACCCAGTTTCCGTATAAACATCCGCGTTGCATGCCCGGCGCTCAGAAACCACCCAGCCCTTCTTCCCTGGGGCTGGATGCAAATTCGCAGCGGGATAACCTTCCCCTGGAGCAGGAGGCCGAGCAGCTCGCATCACCTACACCCCGCCCCCTTCCCGGGTCGCCGCCCGGCAAACGCTCACTCACACACTCCGACTCCTCTGCGCTCTTGACGCCCCCGCTCTCCACCCGCCGCAGATGCAGGCCCCCGCCGCGGCCGCCGCGCTGGGAAGGCAGCGAGCCACTACCGCCGCCCCCGGCGCTCCCGCTGCAGCTGCCGCCGCCCCGCGCCGGAGAGCCGCTGTCGGAACCCGAGGCACCGGATTCTTCGTCCTCAGTGTCCTGGGAAGCGCGCTGCCGACGCCGGTCCGCCATCTTACGGAGAACGGCCACCGCTGGTCAGCTCCTTACGCACCACGCCCGTCGCAGAGGCTGCCGGGAGGCTCGAGAGGAGTCCCGGCGTGCTTCACGTCCAGGGCGGACCGCCCCTCTCTCCGTGGGGCGGGGCCTGCTCCCTGCGGCACGTTTTCGGGAGAGCGAGATTACGTATGTCGGTGATGTAAGGGGGCGTGGCCCGGCACTTCGTGTCCCCCCGTGCGGGCTTAGAGCGCGGGGACCGGTCTGCTGTAGCTTCTGTGGGTGCCGAGCTCGGCCATCTTGGGCTTTCCTTGGGGAGGGCTTCGACCTGTTACAGCTCCACTGTGGCGTTGGAGCTGTTGCATGATTTTCGTTTTCCATTTCTCGCTTCTCCCTGAGTTGTAGACAGAGCATTTTACTGTATTCCTTCGCATGATAAAATCACGAATCCAGGTGAAAACGCCTTAGTCCTGCGTCAGATTTGCCAGCTCTTCACCTCAGTCTAAATTTAGAGGAAAGGAGAAATTGCAGTGGAAACACAATACCGCGGTGTTTGTTGTGTGTTTTCAAATTTTCCTTTCTCCGTGTGTCTTCCCAACCTAGTTATCACATTTTTAGAAGTTCAGGTTGGTAGGACACTTAGGGCTGGATCATCCTTGGCTACGTAGTTAGAGGCCAGTTTTGGAATCATGTCTCCAAAAATAGAAAAAAAAAAAAAAAGTCTCGGCATATTAGTAGAAACCTAGCGTTTAAAATTCTGATGTGTTATCTGACAGAAAATGCTTTGGGCAATGCATTTGTCAGCCATGAAAAAAATCTCAATACTGCTACCTCGAAACAGCATATAGTTTGTTACCTGTTATCAGTGCACATTGATAATGTACATCGAATCGTCGTAAGGTAATAGGATTCTGAGCTATTTTCATAAATAGTTATAAAGATCTCACTGCTTACCAGATTTACAGACAGTATGGGACTAGAAGGAATCATGAATATTTGCAGGGGCTGGTTCTCTCAACTGGAGACAGGCAACCAAATGTATCATGGAGTTCAGCTCCAAAACCAACTGCCTGAATTCAAAATGGAGGATGCATGATTTAATAAGTGTGAAAGGCATTAAGAATCTTATCCATCACAAGCTAAAATGTGCAGTAAGACTGCCAAGTTTAGTGTCTAAATAAGGAAAAGGATAGTCTGCCACTTTGTCCTTTGTTTGGTCTGAGTCCATTTTTTTTTTTTTTAAAGACAGAATCTATGACCTCAGGCCAGTCTTTTCGGACTCATGATCCACCAGCTTCAGCCTCCCCAGGTGCTAGGATTTACAGGTGTGCACCACCATACCCTGCTTGGTCCAACTTTGTTTTTGAGACAGGGTCTTCTGTAAGCTAGGCTGACCTCGAACCTGGGGTGAACCTGGGGTTATCCTGTGTGATTGCTTGGGATCACAGTCCTTCTGAGAAACAGCTCTTAAGAACTGTGCATGTTTAGCATGAACAGATGGTCTGGGATACCAGACATCTTCTTAGAAGAACTATGAGGGAAGAGATGATCTCTTCTCATCACTCTAGTTACAAAACAAGAACCAAGGGGTTCAAGTTACAATGAGGGTCTTCAAACATACAGAAGAAGATGTGCCGGGCAGTGGTAGCACAGGCCTTTAATCACAGCACTCGGGAGGCAGAAGCAAAAAAAAGATGTGCGTAGAAGACATAGTTTAAGCAGATCTGGACATTTGTCTGGACTGTTATCCAGGAGAAATCATGTATCAGGGGCTGAGTTGATGACCTATAAGGTCTTGCTATGAGCTTTGTAATTTGCCATTTATGTACAAAGAAGGGCTCGGGACAAAGGAATGAAACATGTTCTGTACTCTGACACAAATGGAATGAGCCCCTTATTAAAAGGGGGAAATAATGTGTTGTTCTATTTTATTGGAGAATAAGACTTTCCCAATCTTTCATATAGACAAACAATTATTTAATGTTTCCCAACAAATCTAATAAATTGAGGCAAAAGTTCAAAAATTAACGGCCACAATAGTTTATTTACACTTGAACTCTTTGTAAGATATTTACAAGACAGCCGACTGTACACATCAGAAATGGTATCAAAAGTATGAATACAGCACAGACAACCATATGAAACGGCATGAAACAAAGCTGAGCTGGAGAGACAAGCAACTTCTCTTTTAATTTATTAACACTAGCTTAAACTTTGTTAAAGAAAGAAATAAGGAACTATGTTTTAGGAGAACTGCAGGGCCTTTCTTTCTGTTGAAGACTGAATTTCACAGTGTTGTATCCCATGTAGGGAAAAATAAGACTAATTTTCCCCACACTCTTAACACACTGTAATTTCACTCCTGGAACTTCGCTTCAACCTCCTTCTCAACAAACCTCACATACCCAAACCAAAGGAAATCTAGAAGAGGACATAACAAGTATTAGGTCCTCAGGGAAAGGAGAACCAAAGCAATAGAATCCACTTAAGTCCTGCCAGATAGCACCTCATGGATTCCTCTCAGTCTAGCAAAAACAGGATCTGTGGACTCCTCTGTGAGAGGTTAGGTCTGCTAACCCACACCCAAAGTAGGAATCTGACAAATCATAGTAGCAAGAAGAAACTGAGAGGGATCAAGGAACAAAGAAAGAGACAACTGACTGAGGTTATTCCTTTTGGGAGGAGCAAATTCTAAAGAGCCCTAACATAGGTCAGAGTAGGAGCACTAACCAGCTTGCCTCATTAAAACAAACAAAACACAAAAATCTGGCCCAATTTTTCTAGATATATCCTCATCGTTAAGGTGTGAGATGAAAGCCCCTGTGGAATAAGTCCTCTTCTCTCTACATCCTTGCTGCAGTGAAGTTTACGGCAGCTTCCATTACAGAGAGACCACACTCCTAAGCAGATGGAGTTACAATGAAAACCCATAGCCACACACAAACACACACACAAGAGAATTGAGAGCAGCAAGATCATCCAAGAATACTACATGTACTGCTGGAATAATTCCTTTCAAAGTCAAACCCAGGGAGCACAGATAACATCTCAAAAAAAGCTTTAGCAGTGGGAGGCCCCTGAGGAACTTTTCTTCTCTTCCCACAATGGCAATCCCATTCTCTCATGCTCAGCTGATGGGCCAGCCACACACCCTACAATACCTTGGCTTCTCCTCTAAAAGTGCTAATAATCCGGGGACATATTCTCTTCAAGGATAAAAGCCCCTACCTCCTAGGAGATCAGACCCCTACTTGTTTTTATACAATAGTCCTGAAGACTAATGAAAGGCAATTCCTATATATATATAAGACCAGAGGTCTCGGTTCTATTTTCCCTTCAGATAGTTCACAGGGATCTTACACTGAGACCCAAGTGGCCTGGGAGTGCTGTCCATCCTGATTTTTTTTTTCTTTTTTTTTTCTTTTGGTAACAAAACAAGGGCAGGAGATGGGAACCAAGATGGTACATGTATAAATCTATCTTTACTAAACGAATAGAGGTTCATTAGGTACAACTGTTTGTTTCAAGATGTAGACATTTGCCAGCCAAAGGAAGCATATTTTTCCATACCCTTCCCCCCACCCTCCCCAAATTTTCTACCTCACCACCAAACGTTTGGCTAATAGGATGAAACCCCACTAAGGAATACTTGAGAAGTGATGGGACACAAGGACATCTATACAGATTCTGGCATGCCATCCCCAGATGACAAGGCATCTGTTTAGCACTGTAACTAGTTGGAAATGTACATCCCCAATCTCTCTGAACATTTTCTTTTTTGAGGGGTGCAGAAGAACTTCAGTTACCCAATTAAAGTGATCAGCCAGTTTTGAGAGAACCAACTTTCACAGAACTGCTCTAATTTCTTCCTCTGTTGTTCCTCCTTGGGCCCTAAGGCTCATGGTAAGTTCCTCTTGTCTTATTTTAGTGTCAAATCTATTCTACCCAAACTATTCGGAAGGCGCACCAGGGAAGCACAGGGTCAGGGCAGGCACAGCTCCTATGAGGCAGGGGTTGCTCCATCTTCGACATGGCTAAGTAAGAGCCCTTGTACCCCTTTAACATAGGCAAAGTGAGCAGAAGCGGCTCCTGAAAACTCCAAATCCACCATCCTATAGGATGAGCTCCAGAGCTCATTTCCCCAAAAAGGGAAAACAAGTCCCAATAACTCTCCATAATCACAATTAGCCCAATGCAAGAGGTTTTTGTTTGTTTTGTGAAATCAGAGTGAAAAAACAAAACTCAAAAAGGAATATGGAAAGGCATTACCAGTGAATGATAACATACATGAGGACATAGGTCACATATACAGGTCTCTGCCATTCTCTTGGAATGGCATGCTACAACTATCTGAAGACAGGGTTCTTGCCAGTACAGCTACTTCCTACACGTCCGGTGAGGTGTTTGCTTCTTCTGGATCTCCAACCTGCAACGGCTTCGCTCATCCAACCAGGGCAGCTCAAAGTTCCTGGCAAAAAAACATGAGAACAGAGTGAGAAGGCTGCATCAGAGACTAGCAATAGTCAGCTTACCACCAAAGTGGCAAATCACCTGCTTCTGACTTAAACAGCATTGCTACTTCTTGGCTATCACCAAAGAATCATGACTATCCCTAAGCCAAGTGGTCCCCATTTTATCTAGGCTTCCTTCATAGAGTCTGAAAAGGAGGTCCAAACTACCTGAAAAAGGAGAAGGGAAAAAACCTTTATACTTACTGTGGAGTTAATTTTGGTAATGGTCGTCCAAATGCTACAACAGGCAAGAAGGGGGTAATCATCAAACTTTCAACTATGGAAGAAAATCATACAGGACAACCTTATTAGCAAGAGGTGAGAAATGTATAACAACTATACTACCTCCAAAACACAGCTTCCTCATCAGAGCAAGCTGTGCTGTAGAGACTTGAACCCTTTTTTTTCCATGAAAAGTCTACATTTGTAAGTTTATTTTGCTTTATTTTATATTAAGCGTTTATGAATGTGTCTGTGTGTGTGGATTTGTACACGTGAGTGCAGTGCCCTCTGAGGTCAGAAAAGGGCATCAGGTCCCCTGCAACTGGAGTTACAAGCAGTTCTGGACTGCCCAGTGTGGGTGCTGGAAACCAAACTCTGCTCTCTCCAAGAACAGAAGTGCTCCTAACCACTGAGCCATCTCTCCAGCCCCAAAATTTTTAGATAGATACAACTTACCGTCATCGGGCTCAGGGAAAAATGAGGTAACCTCAGGCTCAGATTCCTGAATTCCTTTCTTTTTATACATTCTGAGCTGCAGTCGCTGTAAAATTCTTTGTTCCCTGATCCTCTGAATATCCCATCTGGGAAAAACCAGACAAACACAAACAAACCTAGCATTACTATTGACCTAAAAATTGTCCTACGAAAACAATTCATTTTCTGGATGCTAGAAGATCCTTATTTAACTCCTCTAGATGGGGTAAAGGGAACTGACTACCTGGATGAGGAAGAACTCTTTGGGTCTAGCAGTCTAGATTATGTGTTGGTGTTCCACACAAAATAGTACTGAGGGAAGACATCCAAGAAATGGCCAACATGTTTGTTTGCCTGTAAGAACAACCGCCCCAGCTGAGACACTCAGCTAACTAGGACACGAGTACGACATGAATGTTAAGTGCCCTAAGACTCTCCCCAATATGGAAGAGGGAGTCTCAGTCCTGGGGATCAGATGTCCCGGGATGGGGATCTTGGCCTTACCTTTTTCTCCTCTTCTCGTCTAGCTCCAGTTTTGCATGCCTCTTTGAAAACACACTGTCATCCAGGTTCTGGAAGAGGAACAGCAGGGGTAAGCTCCTTATGACCATGCCGGAATAACCCAAAGTTTTCAGGAGTGTAAAAATGTTCACCTTCAGGTTCTAAAATTATCTAAAGAGTTCTATAGATCATGTAAACCTTCTGGTAAAAGACTCAATCAAATACACTCCTGTCCTTACCCCTATCCTTTCAGAAATCCCAAATTTCAAATTTAATTCCCATAACTTTCCAGGATAAGTCATGTCAAATGCCTGTGAGAGGGCCATAAACTCTCCCTACCTCTATACTTTATAAGAGTCTGAATTCAAAATATCCTTTTTTCAATAACCAAGTAAGTTTGGAACGTAGAATTATGTTGCCGAGTGGCACAGCCTAACTTCTGTACTCAGTATGGAATCTACCTTAGTTTGGAACACCATCTCAATACTAATTTTGAAAAATAACTTAATTATTCTAGAACCCACTTTTCTCATTCATAAGATGAAAAACAAAGACTAAATAAATAACCTCAAGTTCCTTTCTGTTCTTAGGAGTTCTTTTAATCCATCGACAGTTATAGGAAATATTAAGGTCCTCCTCTCCCCCCATGCCCTTTTTGAAGATAGTATCTCCCTATATTGCCTAGACAAGCCTCAACATCTTAAATTCAAGTAATTCTCTCGCCTTAGTTCCTTGAGTAGCTAGGACTATATGCCAACCACAGGGGCTAGTTGTACCCCCCTATATTCTAGTGTTTCCAATTTTCTTCATTCACAGTTCTTGGTACTTACCTCCAAAATGTCTGAAGGATTTGGGTCCCTTAGAGGCTCTACTGAGTGGTCCCTCCAAGAAGGAACTGAAAAAATAAAGAAAAAGAAAAAGAAAAAGAGGAGGGGTGGAAGCACCCTTAAATCCAAAGTCACACAACCGTCCGACTATTCACTAGGACAATCGGTCTCTCCCTAGGTAAGACAGTTACCAAGTGATAGGAGTCCATTCTATGGCCTCACCCAAAGCCATAGTCAGTGTCCTCGCTATGGTATGAAAGAATCTAAAATGCCATTGCAGTCTGCCAAACTCAGGATCACAAAAAACCCTACGCCAATACCTGACAATTCATATAATGGATGCTACTGAAGTTCCTGAAAAACAACTGAAATGTGTTGTCATTTTGTTGTCTACGGTAGTGTCTTCAAACACCAAGGAATCTTACTCTTCCACATCCAACAGACGGAGAAGGAAGCTCCCAACCAGCCACCATCCCACCAATCCCCAACCCAGGCCCGGCCAGCAATTCCTAATCTACTCACCAGCCAAGACTGAAGTTTCTCCTGCAACACTTGATGGCATCAGACACCCTAAATAATGCAGGAAAGAAGAATCATCTCAGTGTAAAAAGAAAAAAAGCCCATACCCAAAATGGAGGAAAGGAGCATCACTGACTGATGTTCTCACTAGGAAGCCATTTTGTTTTTTGAGTTGTTCTTTTGAGAATTTCTCTCTGGGGGAGGGGAAGAGGGAACAACAGACAAAAGAAAAGAAAATAAGCCCACCACTTTTTTTTTTTTTACACTGAGACGACTTCTTTTCTTCATTATTTAGGGTGGTTTCCCTGCAACAGTTGATGGCCAAGGATACCAAACCTTAAACTCAGAACGTGGCAGGTGAGTAAAAGTCGGCCCTAGTTGTCAAATAAACAGATGAGTGTTCCCAGCACTTACACACGGAGTCTTCTTCAAGTTCCTCCTCCCTCCACACAAACTACCTTGCTGGTCCAGCCTGAACAACACGCACAAAGACTTGGGCTTCCTTAGGATAAGTCATTGAGACTTCCTCTTGAGATAGGGGCGTCATACAATAAGGGTTCACACATTTATGCAGAACTCAGGCTCCTCAAGAGACTGGGATCTCCCAGTCACACTCCCTCAGGGTGTTAAGCCCACAATCTCAGATGTGTTTGGAACTTGCTCTACTAGAGTAGACAGGGTTTTTCAAAAACAGCCAGTCACACAGAAGAACTCCAGACCAAGCCATTTCCTAATTCCGGATGGGAAGTTGCTTCACGGTTTCTCCTAAAATTGTTACACAGCATTGCTGTAGCAGCAAAAATTAACTATTAAGAGAACCTGTTCAACTGACTGAAACAACAAAAGTATCAGACTCTAGAGCAGGACCCTGGTCTGTCTCGTATACTTAAGTGTGAGGCCTACTAAAGGTTAGATCATTCATCTGTCTTCCCCACAACAGCCAAACAAAGCCTGGAGATGGCTCACATCTTATTGGAATGGATTCCCATCCCCATCTCTGCTATAGTAAGGCACAGGGTTAGAAACTTAGGTCTAAGGCTCTACCTAAGAAAGCTTTCCCCACCATGACCCAAGAGCACCCACAATAACTGTCATAGACTAATATAACACACTTGAAGACACATTAGTTACTGGTTCATATAGAAGGTGGGGATCATCTCTGTGTGGAAGCCATTAAGAAAATAAACAGGAATAAAGACCAAGTTCCCACACCCCACCCCCTCCCCAAGCAGCTCAGATATCCCAAGATAGTCCTTATTGTTTGAAAAATAGTTTGTAGACCATTTTATTTAAATATATGAACAACCAATGGGCTACTGCAATCCAAGTCAACTCTTCACATCTTAGAACCTTGTGAAGTGCAGTAAGGTAAAGTAAGACTGTTGGCCTTTGGCAGATCCCTCCTGCCCCCAGACCGGGACATAGAGATACAGATAAATGTTTATGTAGTTAGAGAGCGGAGGCCCAGGTGAAATTCCCCACCCCAAGCTGGCTCCCCAACCAAAGATTACCATTGGCCCCTGAGAACACCCAAAGACCACCCTCCCAGGTTTCACACAATATCAATGCAGGAACAGTCGTGCACGGCAAAGTGTAAGTTCTATGCGTTTCACAGCACAGAAAACCCTTCTTTCAGAGGGCATGCAAGTTGCCGGAGATTACACCCCCAAGTCTGGTGCTCTTGTGATGAGCAACTTACTGGCAAACACATCTCCCAGTGTTGTAAGCAGACACATACATTGAGCACATTTTGCTGTAATTCCATCTATTTGCAATGCCTGCACAGTGTCTGTCTCTGGCTGTTAACTTACTCATTCTTGACAGAACTCTGCTTTATTGATTGCACTTTTTAAAAAATGCCAAAGGCATTTCACACTTGTTAGCTTGACCGCCACCACTAGGGTATAAGAGCAAGTGTTCTCTATGCCTTACTTGCTACAGTCTCCTCCTTCTTTGGAGAGGATTCCCGTAATGGTAACGGTGATGGGGGAGGCTGGTGCCAACGACACAAATACATTTCTGTGGTGGAAAGGTACGGCAAATCTTCCATCTCACTTGAGAAGGCTTTCTCCTTGGGGTGGGCGCTGGGTCCCTTTTGGGGAGTGGAGAGTCTTGGTGGGGTATCCACTGAAGAGCGGGGCTTTTCTGGGGTTTCTTGGCTCCTCAATTCACGTTTACAAACAGTTTCTGATAAGGAACCACAGGGTTCCTCTTTAATGGGAGAGTGCTTAGGAGTTTTTGTTTTGACTTTTGAAAATTCAGGAGCCAGCTTTTTAACAGGAGTCTTTCTTTCTGTATTTCCAAATGGGGTTTTCCTATTAGGTAGGAAAGAAAATGTTATAAAATTAATTGACTTCTGAATAAAATCTGATTAGAATATTTGAAGGCAAGAGCAGTATCCAGGTACCTAAACAACCATTGTTCATTTGGAAGACATGGCAGGCAGCAAGTGCCATGCTTGAAAGTATACAGAATGGGTCTTTGGTAAATGAGCAAGCATCTATGCTTAAGAATATCTAACTGAGGGCTGGAAAGATGGCTCAGTGGTTAAGAGCACTGACTGCTCTTCCAGAGGACCCGAGTTCAATTCCCAGCACCCACATGGCAGCTAACATGTCTGTAACTCCAAGATATGACACCCTCACACGGACATATATACAGGCAAAAACAATGCACATAAAAAAAAAAAAAAAAAAAATCTACCTGAGCCAGGCGGTGGTAGCACACGCTTTTAATCCCAGCACTCGGGAGGCAGAGACAAATGGATCTCTGAGTTTGAAGCCAGCCTGGTCTACAGAGCAAGTTCCAAGGCAGCCAGGAATATACAGAGATACCCTGTCTTGAAAATAATTAATTAACTGTTCTATTCCCTACTAGATTCAACAAGGTAACACTTTTTACTCATTCTCTTTAAGATATACTCTGCATTTGTATTTAGTACTGTGACAAAAAAAAAAAAAAAAAATGTTTCAAGACAATTTCTTAACACAGAAACTTGGAGGGGGGCAGGTGTTTGTTTAAAACAAGGTCTCTGTTGCCCAGGCTGGCCTTGAATTCACAAGAGTCCTCTTGTCTCAGCATCCTAAGTGCTGTGATTACAGGTGTGAGCCACCATGCCCTTGGCATAACAGACTTCTCAATTCAGGCTCTGTGTGTTATAAAGCCAATCCATAAACCCCAATCCCACAGGCCCAGTCATCAGTAACAGTTCCTCATCTCGTTCAGACAGCTGGAATAAAGTTATCAGCACACCTTTTGTGTCCCTTTCCACTCCGTCCACATGAGAAAGGCTTGGAAGGCAGAGCCTGGGATGTCTCGCAAAGCTCCGGCTGGCGCTCCAGTTTAATTTTCTCAGTCAACTCTGTTTCCTCTCTCTCTTCAGTTTCATAGCCCTGAAACAGCTTGTGCCTTTCTTTCTCGCTATCCCTCTTTACCAACTGCATCCGCCTTTCCATACGTTCAATCCGAGCAAGGAGCTAAAACAAAATGACAAGATGCAGACTTACACACGCAAGTTAAACACGAGCACTTAGCCCCAATTAGGAATCAGCAGTCTTCTGCATGTTGCCATGGACCCTACGAATTCAACTTTGAACTGGCAGACACGAATCTGAATAGCTTTCCTTAAACTCAAGAAAGGCAAAAGACAATTGCAGGAGTTAGTCTGGATGGTAAGAGGGATGGGGCAATTCTAAGTTCATTCTTCTGAAAGAAGATCCTCTCTACTGGGCTGGGCCAGTGTGCCCTTTAATGAGAAGGCCTCACTTCAGCTAGCCATGTGGCTGCAGGTCATTTGAGAGTCCTGAAGTTAACCTTATATATGTGAAGAATACATACTCTTCACTGTTGTATGTGATGCTAGGGACAGAACCAGGGCCTCGTGAGTGTGCTTGGCAAGCACTCTGAACTACATTCTCAGCTCTGTGTTCTTTTAAAGTATCCTAAGGTTATCCAAATTCTATCTGCTCTATGTTCACTCCAAAACTCCAGACACAATGGAATGTTCAAACAGTACAGTAAAAAGGAATCAGGAGCGCAGAGAGTGTCACTAGGGATAGTAGTGTTACATGAAAATGTTATGTGTGTATAGTTGAGGGAGTACTTCTAAAACATACTACACTGTAAAGAATTATAATACAGTATTATATTAATACCAACAAATATGACATATATTCTGCTTTGATTTTGAGACAACAAAAAAAATAACTTATCTAAGTATTTATTAAAATTACTTTCATTCTAATTAAAGTGAACCACAAAAATCAAGCAGAAAATAGAAGTCTATTGTCATAAAAACTTATTATACTTACACCAGACTACAGGAAGCTGCCTGGGTTAAACAGTGATATTAATGCTGCCTTCATTACATCCATAGCCTAGATTTCAGCAGAGGCCAAACAGTAACTGTGATAAGAGGAAGGGGCTGAGGCAATACTAGACTGCAGCACATAAGAGGAGCAGTGAACGCCAAGTTCAGACAGGTCCTTTATCCTTACCTCACCCCACTTTTTCCTACCTCCAAAAGCCTATGAAGGGAACATGACTTCAGGGACTCAGCAGAGCTCTCCTTGTCAGCCATCCTCTCACTTCATCTTCTGTTCTGGTTCACAGCCTTAGCATTACTTAACCATGTTTTGTGGGTGACATAGTCTTGATGTCTTCTCTTTTACTGGTCCCTCTCTTCCCACCCCCTTCCCATGGAAGGAAGGATATGATGTGTTGTAATTACAGTACCATCACACCCTTAGACTGCAGTACAGTAGCTGGGCAGGGTCACCTCCATGTTGAGTAACTTCCACAAATCAACACTGAGGGGTTTCAGTGAGAGCTGCCCCAGCTCCCATTCCACCTTGCAGAAGGCAGTCTCCGATGAGACAGTCGCCGGATGGCGATTCATTTAGAGAACAAACAAATGAGTAGCTCTTCTGCTCCCTGCTCAGCCCTGGGTGCCCACAGCACCAGGGTGAGAGGGGAGAGGAGAGCGAGAATGAGAGCGGCGGCCTCAGCCCAACTGCAGAAACCATGTTTATTTTTAGGCAGTCAAAAGGTATGTTAGCACAGAAATACCCCGCCACACCAGCTTCCCTGGGCGGGAGGCAGTATGCTTAACATGGAGGTACCCAAGACTGCTGCTGCAGTGGAAACAATCCTATGTAGTCATGTTCTTCAGAAGTACAAAGAAATAGCAGGGCTTCTCTACTACCTCAAGGTTCTGGGAGGTAGAAGGAGCTACTGAATACATTGAATAGGCTCATGTCTCAAAATCTTCCCGCTTATTCAAGAGACTTGGTCAGTGGGTAGTGTTTTGTAACTCAGATTCCTCCCCCTCCCCCACTAAAAAAAAACACCAAAAACTGCCTGAAATCAAAGGCAGTGATGCTCATCTAGAAAAGCTACAATAGGATTCCACGTAGACCATCTTTACCCTCTACCGGCTAAAAGACCTATGACGACCCTCCTGTCTGAAGATGCTGCAGTAGCGGTTGGAGCAACAGCTGTTATGTCCCTCTCCTCTACAATGCACTTCTAACGCAACAGCGCTTTAGATTAACCCTTCTGTACAGCCACCACATCTGCACCCCACCCCATCATCTTAACCCCTCATAAATCGGTCTTTTCCCACTCTAAACGTCTTTCCCACAAGTCTGGGGCTGTCATTTTAAATTAACCCTTTGGCAACCGAAGTCCACACACACACACACACACACACACACACACTCTCAAGGTTGCCCTTTAACCCTTCCCTCGGACCCAACGCTGTCAGTGAGCCAGGCTCCTAACGACCCAGCAGCATCTAGGGCACTCCTTCGCTGGTGGCCAACTTCCTCTAACCCTAACCAAGCGGGGACCTCTGCCTCCTACAGCCCCCTTCCCCCGAGCATGCGCACAACTCGCTCCCGGCCCGGCTGCCGATTAACCCCTCCCGTACCGTGTCTCTCTCGGACTTCAGCTCCTCGATCTCTTTTTCCTTGGCCTGCAACTGCTGCTGCTGCTGTTCGATGAGGTCCAATTGCAGCAGAAGGATCTGTTTGAGGCAGGCGGCCTGACTGGAGGCTCCCGAGCCGCCGCCACCCCCGAGAGGGCTCTTCCTCATACTCTTCCATCTGCCCTCGCTGGCCGCCAGGGTCCCGGCAGTGGCGGTGGGCGCGAGGGGTGGCGGCCCGGGCAGAGGTAGTGGTGGGGGTCCCGCCGGGTCCGAGGCGGTGGCAGCTGGGGGAGCCGCCCCACCCTTGTCCCCAGCCCAGGGCGTAGGCTCTTTGGCCGTCGCCACGAGAGAGCCCGTCTGAATGGGCAGCACCGCCTGATACTTGGGCCGGGGGCTGCAGCCGGCGCCGGCTGCGACCGGCTCCCCGCCGATGCCGGCTTGTTTGGTAGCTGGGGGCGGACAGGGCAAGGGCACCGAGCCGCCCCAGCTCTCTTCCTGCTGCCCGGGGGCCGCCCCGGCCGGGAGGACCAAGCCCCGGCCCTTGCCGCCGCAGCCGGCTGGAGAGGGCGCGGGACTCCCGCCCTGGGAGGAGGCCAGCGGGGGCCCCGGCTCCTTGAGCTTACGATGCCGGGGGAGGAAGTGGGCTTCGGCCGCCCCGGACTCGTCCTCGGGCCCACCCAGCGCCGCCGCCCGCTCGTAGTCCAGTCGCTGCTCGGGGTTGCCGCCGGCGGGCGCCGCGGCCGCCTTGAACACCGCGGATCTCATGGTCATAGTGGTCCGGAGCGGCGCGGGGGACCGAGGCGGAGGAGGGGGTGGGGAAGGGGCGAGGTGCGGGGGGTCGAGGACGGAGGAGGGGGAGGGGAGTTTGGCGGGCTCGCCTCAGCGGAGCGGCCGCAGGCCTCGGCTAACGCGGCTCCCCCGAGGCCCCGGCGCCATCCCGCCGGCCAGCGGACGCGTGGAGGCCGCGGCTGAGGCCCGCCGCCGCCGACCCATGGGGGCCTCGCCGCCGCCTCTGCTGCCGCCACCGTCGCCTTCGCCGCAGAGGCAGGAGCTCGCACCCAGCCGCCCCCGAGCTCATCCCCGGAGCTCGCTTCGGCCCCCCCCTGGCCCGGCCGGGCCCGCCTCGTCTCCCCACCCCGCACCCCCCCTTCCCCGCCCCGGCCCCCCGCCCCGGAGCTCGCCTCAGCCGCCCCGAGCCTCCATTTCCCCCCCCCACTCCCTGCTCCTCCTCAGGAGGGGGTGGGAGGGACGGGTCCGCCCAGAACCCTCCTACTCCGGGAGGGGGGGGAGGTCTGCCGCCTCCCCCCGGGGGGTCTCCGCGGCTCCGGGACCCCTCCCCCACAGTCACCCCCGGCGCCTCAGCGTTTCCCTTTAAAAAAAACGGAGCCGGAGCCGCCGCCGCCGCCGCCGCCCGGAGCGCGCATGCGCCGAGAGGGCGGCGGGCCGGCGGGCGGGCGGGCGGCAGCGAACCGGGAGCCGAGAGGAGGGAGGCGGGTAGCGCTATTGTGAAAGGGGCCGCGGCCGGCCCGAGGGGGGGGGGACCGGGGCGCGGGGGGCCCACGCGGGGAGGCCGGGGGTGGGGGCGGGGACGCCGGCGCGGGCGAAGGTGGGCGGCGGGGGCGGGGGCGGCCGCGGGCGGCCGGGGAAGGCGGAGAGGAGCCCCGGACGAACGAAGCGCGAGAGGATGGGGTTGGGAGGAAGGAAGGAAGGAGGCAGACGCGCCCGCCCCTCGCGGTCGCCTCCCGGCCGCTCCGCCGAGCCTGCCCGCCCCCGCCCGGCGGCCTGGCCCACGCCGGGGCCCCACGCACCCTCCGGAGCAGCCCCGACCCAGGCTCCCCCCTTCCCCCCCCCCGCCCCGGAGCCGGCGGGTGTTCCGTGGCGTGGAAGGTAGAGCCTCCACCCCGTCGGCTCCGTGAGACCGAGTTCTTTGTCTCTAAGGGATCCAGCGCCAGAAATGGAGGGACCTCTGGTTCCCGGAGCAGCAAAATCGATGATGTCTGCTGCCCGGGGGAGTTTTTAACCACAGCCTTCTTGGGGTGAAGGACTGCCGAGAGCCATGTCCCCCAGCCTTCTTGAGCGACTGCTAGCATCTTCTGGGAGAAGGCGCAGACGTCCGCGAGGAGATGTATGCTTGTATCACACTCAGCGTTCTCTGGGGCCTTCTCTTTTGAGCACTTCTTCCCGTTCTCCGGGTTCATAGTGTCATGTGTGTGTGTGTGCCAGTCAGAAGTGCATTTCTAAAAAAAAAATTTATGGAGATAGCCGGGTGTAGTGGTGTACGCCTTTAATCCCAGCACTTGTGAGGCAGAGGCAGGAGAATTTCTGTGAGTTCCAGGACAGGCAGGGCTACATGGAGAGACCTTGTCTCCAAAAATAAGTAGTGCAGGCATAGAACATCTGGCCCAATGTCAAAGCTTCTAGTTAGAAACTCCCTCTGCTTTGTGGGCCATGAAACCCTTGACAAGCTTGAGGGAATGGGTGTGGATCTCCAGAGTCCCAGCCCTCTTTCCGGCAGACTGGCCTCAACTCTGCCAGGGAAGTCCTGGGTTTAGGGATACGTGAGACTAGACGGTCGGGTGGGGGGGATTGAGAAGTTTGTAGGATGTGATCTTTCTCAGTATGAAGACTCCCCACCGTCTCACTATCAATTGGCATACACCGAACCGCCCAGATTGTAGCCTGTTGGGCTTTTACTCCAGAACCCTATCTCCAAGCGCCTAGAATGTGTCCAGCTGGGTGTCTAACAGGCATTTCAAAGTCAAGCTTTTGACTCTGCCACCGGAGTCCTGCTTCCCCATATCCAGTCAGTCAGTCCATCTTTCTTTCAAAGTACAAATCCACAATAATACACTTCTGCATCATCTCCACAACTCCCACCGTGATGTAAGCCACAATCCCTGCTTTTTTTTACAGATTGTTTTAATTATGGAATGCTTGTAATCAAGTCTCTCAGCTTCCACCTTTGCCTAAGTCCGCCCTGGGCATCTACAGTGATCCTGATAGGTCATAGTCATTCTCTGTTCTAAAGTCTCGTGGCTTCCTGTCTCACTTGGAGTAAAAGCAGTCTTGGAATGGCCTGAAGAATCTGGCCCTTCACATGTGGACTTGAGGGCTCCCACTGCTGCCCTTCTCTCCTGCCGCAGTCGCCTCCTGTCTGTCTGCTCAGGTCCCTGCATTTGCTGCTCCCTCTGCATGGACTCTTCATCAGGTCCACGTGACTTCCTCGCTTCCTTTGGCTCTTGACTAAATGCCATCTTCTAATGCTTTTTTTTGCCGACCTCCATTTCTTCTGCAGAATTTCTCACCACCCACTACGTCATTTGTCCTGCAGTATCCTCACCTACTAACATGTGAATTCCATAGATTGTTAGCTCCGTGTATCTAGACATATACCTGCTAAGAGTAGGCTCTTAATGTGGGCCAGCTTGAAAACTGTTAGTTCAGGTGTGAGATGGTGAGTAGTTCATCTCGGGTTCCAGAGGTATAGGGATATGTAGAGAAACTACCAGTAGAGTGTGAGCAGAGTGCCAGGCCTGTCTCAAAGGCCAGTGATCCCAGCTAGTTCGTGAGACTTAGGTAGGACTATCCCAAGTTCAAGACTTCCCAGGTCTTGGAGTGACAGGTCTGTGCTGTGGTTCAGTGGCAGAGTGCTCTTTGCTCACCTAGCACCCACAGAGTACTAGGTTCAGTGGCAGAGTGCTCTTTGCTCACCTAGCACCCACAGAGTACTAGGTTCAGTGGCAGAGTGCTCTTTGCTCACCTAGCACCCACAGAGTACTAGGTTCAGCCTTCGGTGTCATATAAAAGGAGGACAGGTGAGGAAGCTCACAGGGTAAAGGAAATTGCCACCAAGTCTGAGGACCTGGGTTGGGGCCCGGGAACTCAAACAATGGAAGGAGATGAACAAGTTGTCTTCTGAGCTCCACTTTCACAGTGAGGGGACCCATGCCAAAAACACAAATAAATGTAATGTAAATTCATCAAAGAGAAGACGCCAAGGCTGTAGCATGAAACTACGGAACGCAATCTCAGGGCTGGCGAGCTGGTTCAGCAGGCACAGCCTGGCCCCCTGAGGTAAATTCCAGGATGTGTAAAGGTGAGAGGGAAGCGACTCCACGAAGTGATCCCGACTTCCACAGAACGCTGTGACATTCCTCCGAGTGCAAACCTAATAAACCCAAGCCAGCCTCCTCATTGAAACCGTGGATGTGCAGATGACCTAGTCCTGCCCTACACCTGAGGATTCAGAAGCTCTGGTTTGGGGTTTTGTTTGAGATAGGGTCTTTAGACCAAACTGGCTTCCTGCTGCCACGTCCCCAGTGCTGGGATTACAGGCACACACCATCCTGCTAGGCTAACCCTACTTACCTACTCTTCAAGGGCCAGACAGTAACTATTTTAGGCTTGGCTGACTAGAAGGCTTTTTTTTTCTTTTTTAACCTTCAGTTCTACTATTGTAGTGCCAAAGCAGCCCCAATGCATGATATGAATGTGGTCATTTTCCAGTATAACTGTATTACATGGTATTTGTATTCCTGATAATTTTGCTTGGAATATATATGTGTATATATATCCATCCCAGGTAGCCTCTAATTACTGTGTAACTGACAAGGACCTTGAACTTTTTATTGTCCTGCCTCTACCTCCTGAGTGCTGGATTATAGGCATTGACTATTGTATGCATTCACCACAGGCCAAGTGTATTCAGTGCTGGAGGTTTTACCCAGTGCTTCACATTGCTGGGCAAGTACTCTACCAACTGAGCTAGACCCCTAGCCTTATTTCTAATCATCTTAATTTACAATCTCATTTTAAAATTTGCAACTATGCTGGGCAGTGGTGGCACACACTTTTAATCCCACCACTAGGGAGGCAGAGGCCAGTGGATCTCTGTGAGTTCGAGGCCAGCAGGGTCTACAGAGCAAGATCCAGGACAGGCACCAAAGCTACACAGAGAAACCTTGTCTCGAAGAGAAAAAAACAAAATGCAACTATTACACATTCTTGGTTTGGTTGGTTTGTGGTAGGGTCTCACTATATAGCCCAAGTTGGCCTGGAACTCAGGGTGATGGGCCTGCCTCTGCCTCCAGAGTACTGGAAACAATTCTTAGTGTGTGAGGCATACCAAATGGTGTTAGGTCGCCAGGCCTGAAAGTACTTACCTGTAATCCTAACTACTAACATGAGATATGGAAGCAAGAAGATAGAAGTTAGAGGCCAGCTAGGGTACCTACAAGAGCCTGTTTATATACAAAAAATTTTTAAGTGCTGAGTTGGTTCTCTTCTGGCTGCCCGCCCCTGATCTGGGGGCACACAGACCGAACTGGAGTCAGTCTAGGATGAACTGTGGGTGGGAGCACTGGTCTAGTGCCCAGCCATAGGTGCCAGGTGTGCGGGAGCAGTTTCTAATGGAGATAAGCTCTTTGGTGTTTGCTAAGCAGTACCGGACAGTGAATCTAGGACTTCATGAGTGCTTGGCAAGCCGTCTACTACCGAGCTGTATGTCCAGCCTGATTTTCACTCACTGAGACAGGCTCACCAAATTACCCAGGCTGACCTTGAACTGTGAACTTTCAATCCACCGGCCTAAAATATACTTTCTTTTGTGAAATGAACGATGTCAGTAAACTAATCGATGGCAGTACTTTTAAAATATCTTTACCGGCAGACAAATTATCAGCTGGTAATCCTACATCAGTCCCCAACTTTATTTTTCCTGGAAACGTCTCAGCTCTAAAGTCCAAAGTCTACAATTTCACTGCATCAAATTAAGTAAACACACTTTTTCCCCAAAGGCAAGACTGGAATCTTTGGATTGGCGGTCTGATTGTAGCTTAATTCCAAGGAATAAACCACCAGAAACCTAGAAAGGTCTTTCTGGACTTTTTTTTCCCCCCTTTTTTGAGGCGGAGTGTCATTCTGTAGCCCAGACTCACCTCCAACTCTTTATGACCTTCCACTAACCCCCCACCAAAGTGCTGAGATTCCTACAAGTGTGAGCCTCCAGGCCAGGCAGAGAGTTACTTTCATTAGAAATCTTGCTTCTAAACCATTAAGCCTTAAGCTTCGGTGACCCCTGATTAAACACATAAGGAAGTGAGGTTTCATAGTGTAAAGGCCAGGAGACGTGTGGTGGGGCGCGCTTGTAATCCCAGCCCTGGAAGGAGGAGGCTGAGGCCAGAGGATTTTGAGTTCAGCTTGGTGTACATAATGAATTCCAGGCCAGCCTGGGCTACAATATGAGAGAAACCCTGTCCTAAAACTAAAAGCGGAGTCAGCTGCGAGGGAACCCAAGAGAAGCAGTGCTTAATACCCACAAATCAGTCCCTAAACTGTTTTATCTCCCGTGGGATGACAACCACTTTGCCTCGTGGTTGCAAGTCTGGAGAGAGTTCATAGCAAGTCTTTCACCCTCCTACTCAGGTTTAAGGAATTGCAGAGTTCCAGTCCTATGACCTCCATTCTTTGGAGGGCATCCCCGTGGTGTGAAGAGCATTGGCAAGCCATTTCACCTGTCCGGGTCTTGGTTTTCCCAGACACCACACCGACCTCCACCACAGCCCCTAAAGAAGGAAGACTGGAGTAGCTCATCTTGCCAGTCTCTTCCATTTTTGACAATGAGGCTGCTAACAGGGGGCAGAACTTGCTAGTGAGAAAGCGAACGTTTGTCTTGGCTTCTCTCCAGGGAGAGGTTTCTCCTGGGCGGCTTTCCGAGGCGCTCAGGAAGGTAAATAAAAACTGGAGTTGCGTGGCTGACATTAACTCAGTCCCCCCACGGCCCCGGAGGGAGACCACGGCCCCGTTCGCCACCTCTCCCGTCTAGACGCAGGCTAGGAAACCAAGCAGCCCGGACGGAGCCAGAAGCTTCCCTGGACGGTCTGCAGGGCTCAGGGCGCTCGCTGCCAGCAGCCCTGCCCTGCGTTCCATCGGGCCTGCGGGTGGGTGTGCCCCGTCCCTGGGTCCTCCCCAAGGACGGGGTACACCCGCCCGCTTCTTCAATTCCCTTCCCAATCAGACCAGAACTCAAATTTGGGTGTTGTTTTTGTTTGTTTGTTTCCCCCTATCGGCCAGCCCCGCCAAAACTTCCAGAGTGTCCCGCCCACTCCACGTGGACCTCCCTTCCCTGTCCCAGCAACCCCTGCGAGAACCACCCCTAACACGTGGTCAATTGTTGTGTTTCCTTCCTCAGGCTCCCTTAGAGCTGGCATGAGCCAGCCACTGAACAAAAGTGCCCTCTTCAGGGTGACTCTGGGGCGGCAGCCTGGGCTAGGGTTAGTTACGGAGAGGTCACTGACTATAGGGTAATGTGGCTGCTCCAGCCGAAGATGACTTTGTTTATACCCACATAGTTCTCTGGTTGAAGACGAAGGGTTGGGGCCCGATGTTGTGGAGCAGGCAGGGGATCTGTGAGTTCGAGACCAGCCTGGTGTACATAACGAGTTCCAGACCAGCCAAAACTACACAGTGAGACTCTGTCAAACAAAACCAAAAATAACTTCAAGGGTACACAGAAGATGTAATTCGGGCTTATGGCGAGGTTGAAGAGGGTAGCCACATACAGGTCAGTCTGGGCTATTTTAGCCACACCCTGTTTCCAAATAGTAAAAGGGTTGAGAATGTAGCTCAGTGGTAACATTGCAGAATGGTAGGGTGCAGGAGCTGGAACCTCTACATTCAACCCCCAGTGCCCTCTTTAGAGACAAGAGAGAGTTACCATCAATGAAATTGTCTTGGTGTGGAGTTAGTAAAGTTTGGTTACCTTTATTCCAACTCCTTCAGACTTCATAGCGTTGATGAAGAGCTGAGAGAGGAGCATTCCCTAATTATGAACTGGGTTATGGGTGCAGTGCCTCTCTGAACTGGGTGGACGGTTCCTAAAGGACTTCCCCAACAACACTCTAAGTAGATCTCTATACGAGCTCAGTCAGACTGGTCAAGCTAACAGGTTTCTAAAACAGTATCTCCCTGTCAGCACTAGGAGCACTAGCTTTGAAAGGAAAGAGCCCCAGGAGATGGTGCTGGAAGGAGGAGGAGGAGGCACGCAGTGAAAACACACACACACCCCGTGGTGGCCCATGCTTTTAATCATAGTACTGAAGAGGCAGCCATAGATCTCTGTGAGTTTGAGGCCAGCCTAGTCTACATAGCAAGTTCCAGGACTACATAGAGAGAACCTGTCTCCAATAAATAAATAAACAAACAAACAAACAAACAAAAAGAGGTGGATGGGATTCTTGTGCTCATTTATCCTGATTTGAGGTCTCTGTCTTCTCAACACTCTGGTTCTCAACTTATTTGGGGGAAAATACCTTGAGCAAAATACAACGGCAAGAATCTCCCCTTTCCTGTTCTGGAAATAAAAGAGTTGGATGGGGAATTGGGGTTGCAGAATTGGGGAGGGGGTGGATCGTGGACAACGTTCACAGAAAGATAAGGGCTGAGTGGTGTGGGAAAGAAAGGGTAAATTTAGTAGGCTGGCATGGTGGTGCGAGCCTGTAGTCCCAGCACTAGAGAGGCTACGGCAGGAAGACTGGGGCCAGAGGATGGAGAGATGGCTCCTTGATTGGTCTTCCAGAGGAAGAGTCCCAGCACACAGGGCTGCTCACAACCACCTGTGACTCCACTTCCGGGGGATCCAGTGCCCTCTTCTGGCCTCTGCAGGTATCAGCAAGCTGTCTCTACAGCCCCAGTTGAAAAACAGAAGAAATAAATAAAAATAAAATGGGAATCATTGTGGGCCTATTTGTGGTTCCAAGGTCACAGAAGTCATAACCCAAGAGCTACAAGCCTGGAAGCCCAAGGAAAGGGACCCTATTGTGGCCAAGAAACACATAAGACAGGGACACGTTAAGGAATGAAGTGAGGAAATGTGGGGGAAAATGGGTAGAGTCCCGAGACCCCACCACACCCGACCACAACCCTCCCCTTTTCCTCGTGTCACTATTAGCTCAGACCAGCCTTGAACTTGCAGTCTTCCTGCCCTGGCCACTCAAGTGCTGGGATTATAGGTATGGACTGTCACGCTTGGCCTGGAGCACCTACTTTGAAGGGAAAGAGTCCCAAAGCGATCAAGTCCGAAGACTGGCTGGGCCATCTGCGCTCCTATAACTCAGCATCTGTCAGCGCTCCCATTACCAGGTGCTATTTCCAGAGTCCTGGGCTTAGGCTGAGGAAAAGGGAGGGGCAGAGACATCTAGGCAAAGGGAGACCCACAGAGCGCCTCCCCCCACCCCACCCCCACCCCCCGTCCAGCTGCAGTTCCCGCTTTTAGACACTTGGGGGCGCCCGAGCTCAACCAGAGTAAGTGGGAGAGAAAACACGGGAACTGAAGTAGCTTGCAGGACAACTTGGGACGTCAGGGATGACCCTGAACGGAGAGCTGACACAAGGACCCTCTGCTCTGAGGCTGCAGACCCCTGGCATAGCCGCCGGAAAGCATCCAGTCTCACCTTCGCTAACAGGGGCTCGTGACGCTGCAGGTTATATCTCCGCCTTTCACCCTCACCTTGCACACTGCCGGGTCACCTCTTCTCTGCCTTGTTTCCCGCCCCTCCCCCCTCCTCCTGTGGGAACCGTCCCACACAGCCGGTCAGAAGGTTGAGGAATGCTCTGCCTTGGCTAGGTGCCAAGCTGTGGACTTCCTGGGCTTTGGGGTGGGGCTTGGCAAGGGGAAGCCCTTTGGACACAGAGCCACCCAGTCTTGCAAGCCTGTCTCCCCTCCCCCCACCCCCTCTCTCCGCTAAGTGAAAGGCTCTGAAGTCACTCTTTGTGACCACAGTCTGATTTCCTTCCCCCACCCCAGTAGGATTTCCTAGCCTGTGCAAAAACATCTACAGTCTGGGAGTGGGTGGTCACCCTGAGCACTGTGGCTCACAATAGGTCGGGGAGGCACCTATTTCAGGATCTGCTTTCCCTGTCTGGAAGGAGGGATTCGGTTGTCAGGGTCTTGGGCCATCAGTTATTAATGGCAATTCACCCCCTCAAGTTCCTTCGCAGAACCTTGGGTCTAAAGTCTCTATATGATTAAACCTAGGAGTAAGCTGATTTCTGAGTACCTGACCTTGACTCAGCCTCCATTTTCCCTGAAACAAATCAGCTGAAATCTGAACTCACTCATGCAGCTCAAGACCAAGGAAATCTTTGCAGCCCGATGCAGCTGACTGGGATGCGTTTATCGAGAACGAAGAGACTCAAAAACAAACAAAAAAACCCACTTTCAGATCCCTGACAGGGACCTCTCTGTCCTACTGAAGGGGCTCACTGCTCAAAACTTCTTTTGCATTTGTGGGAGGAGAATCTTCTGATAGGAAAAAGGAGAATTCAGTCTGGTGGCCGCCCCCTGCCTCACAGATCCCCAGTGCCACTTTTGCAACCTGTCTGCCTGCCGTCATCACCTCCAGACCTGTGCCAGATTCCCAAGCTGCTATCTGGAGACTTCAGCCCCCACAGCCCAGGCCTAGGGGAGAGCCGATGTAGGTCACTGCAGCTGGGCCGGCAGGGCTCTCTCTGCTCCGGGCCCAGAGCCTTTCAGGCCCAGAGGAAGTCTTGCAGAGAAGCAAAAGAAAGAGCTCCATGAGATTCAGACAAAAATCTATTGCTCAGAACAGAAATCAGGGAGAGTGAAGGAGTCGGTCACTGGAGCCTGAGCCTGCAACCAGCCCGCCACCCCCCCCACCCCACCCCCCACCCCCGTGCTGGAGGGAAAGCCCCGAGAGGCGAGAGGCCTGGGCACGCTCCCGGTCCTGATGCCCCCCTTCTTGCTTTCTTTGCCTATGTAAGGAGACTCCGCTTCTGGTGGCTATCCTCCACTCTCCAGTCACATTCCAGGCTCAGCTTTCATTCTCAGGAACCTTTGTGATTTACCTTTGAGACCCTCTGGGCACAGCTTTGGGGTCTTGGAATAGGCCAGTGCTATCCCACCCTCTCCTATTGAAAACCTTTTCCTGCCCGTTATCTGCTAAACTCATTTGACCCGGGGAACTTCCAACCCTCTCATCCCTTCTCCTGGCTCTTCCTACCCTCACCCTGGAGAGATCTAAGCAATATGAGTTCGGGCAAATGTGTGCTCATGCATTAGCTTGACACAGAGCAATCAAGGGTCTATGGCTAAACCTAGCTCAAGATCCCCAGGCCCGACAAAAACAGGCCCTATCGTCCACAATCATCTGTAACTCAGTTTTAGGAGACCCAATGCTCTCCTGGCTTCTACAGACACCAGCCATGCACACAGTACACAGACAGGCCAAACCCTCCTACACATAAAATAAAATAATAAAAAGAAACGAGAGAGGTCGGTGGCGCACACCTTTAGTCCCAGCAGAGGCAGAGGCAGGAGAATCTCTGTGAATTCAAGGTGAGCCTGGTCTACGGAGTGAGTTCCAGAACAGTCAGAAATACTCAGAGAAATCTTCTCTCAAAAAAAAACAAAACAACTAGGTGATGGTGGCCCACGCCTTTAATCCCAGCACTCGGGAGGCAGAGCCAGGTGGATCTCAGTGAGTTCGAGGCCAGCCTGGTCTACAGGGCGAGAGATCCAGGAAAGGCACCAAAACAGAGAAACTCTGTCTCAGAAAACAAAACAAACAAACAAAAAACCACCACCAACAACAACAAAAACCAACACCACCATAAAAATAAATAAGGGGAAAAAGTCTACCTCTAGCCTCAAAAAAAAAAAAAGAAAAGAAAAAAAAAAGAAAAGAAAGAGAAAAATTACAAATTACAATAATGGGCTTTTCTTTTCATGGGAGGGGGCATTGACTTGTTCTTCGTTTGCTTGCTTTTGAGAAAGGGTCTCACTGTGTAGCGGAGGCTGGGATCCACCTGCCCTTGCAAACTCCAAGTGCAGGGACTAAAGGTGCGAAGGTCAGGGGTCTGCCGCCTCATGGTCTCAGTGCTGGGACTTGAAGCCAGAGCTGCGTCTTCAGCCCTCTAGTCAGTTGTTTGAACAGGAAACTCAGAGCGCAGGTGTGGGGGAGAAGGGGAGGGAAAATGGAGGATCTGCTCTTCTGGTTGCTTCGTTCTTCCTCCAGTACATTCTCCTCCCCTTTGAGAACCCAGCAACTCACTACCCCGCTACTGTTGTGCCATTTGCCCTCATTACCAGAATCCTGGCACACAGGAGGCACTCGATAAATGGGGTTTTGTACAGAGTCAAACTAAATCTGACTATGCTTTCTGGCTGAACTCTGAGATGTTGCCCCACATTGGAGAAAGGTAAAAATATCCCCAGATCATGGCTGTATCTCCTGGAGAGAACTCAGACCTAGAGCTGTGTTTCCCTCTGACAATAAATCCCCTGGTGGGCGTCCTAAACCAGATTCCTGAGCTGTCCCCAGCGTTTGAGAGTCAGCGAGCCTCTGGTGGACCTAAGAATGTGCATTTCTCACAGGGTTTCAGGTAATGCTAATAATCTCCACATTACTGATCTGAGAATCATTGCCTCGGTGAATCCCAGCCCCTCACCTCAATATTCACCACGAAGACCTGGTCGGTCCCAATTTTATATAGGAGGAGGGAAGCGGGGAGCATCGTGAGCACCTCACTTTTGCGCAGACCCTCCACCCGACGCGGTAAGGGCAGGCATGTCAATCTAGAACTTGATTGTCCGTGCTCTTTTTATTTAGTCCGTTGACTCTATCCTTATTGAAAGTCACTTCCCCCAAAACATGTTTTGCTACAGCGAGGGAGCACTAGGAATTTCCTGTGGCTAGGCAGCCCAGTGTCTGCAGGGGTGGAGGCAGCGCCGAGCAATCCAGTCCTTCCCTTGGCTCGGGCAGGGCCACGTGCCCCACCCCCTCGCTCGCACATGTCTCCGCCGCCACCGCCGCAGCAGCCAGGCTGTTTATGAGCGAGTTGTTGTGGTAGAAATGGAGCAGGCTGCACATGCCCGGGCCATGTGACCCGGGCAGCCCGCGTGAGCTTCAAGACGGCACAAACACACTCGGCCCTGTCCTCCAGTGCCCGGGGAAGCAGGAGGGATAGACCGGGGAAGGAGTGAAAGGCCACTGGGCCGCCTTGTTGTCTGCTGCCCTGTATTCCGCTCGTGTCCTTTTTTTCTCTCTCTCGTCTGAGCCACCGGGAGCGCAGTCATCAGCGAGGCAGCTTGGTCACCTCCCCAACAGCCCCTCGGCATTTACAGTCCTCAGAGCCCAGATTCCCCCAAATAACACAGGGCCTCTCCAGGTCAAGAGCCCAGCATCTCTCACCCCAGCCTCCTTATGATGTGGGGTCCTGGCCTCCAAGCTGAGACCTGCTTTCCCGGCAGCCTGGGCTCCCCAAAACAGGCTTCCCTGTCCCCTCTTTCTAGGAAGGCGGATGTCACACATTCGTGTAGCTAGTGTTCACTCCAGGATTAGAACAAGGAGAATCAGGGATTTGTGAGTCGGGAACAGGAAGCTAAGAACATGTCTGCACCAGGGGTCTATGGAGACCGTGGATTGGAAGGGGAAGTCCCTTTGGTAGTCCGTGGTTAGGAGGAGCTGGAGACCTAGAAAGGCTGTCACACCGACTCCTGTCCAGAACAAGCAACCGGGCAAAAGACAAGTTTAGCTTTCACCCTCACTGAAGCGTCCCCTCCCCCGCTCACAGGCATTGCAACCCCAGAGCCCCTACTTCCAGCCCACGGCTTCTGCCCCAGCCCACTGGTGACCCTGTTTCTGCACCGCAGTGCCTCTTGCTGCGAGGTGAGGCTGTGCTGGAGTCAGGCGGACAGTAGGTTAGCAGGAACAAGCAAATGAAATGAGAACGACCCACATTTCCTCGCACACCAAAAACTTTGCAGATCCTGCATTGCAGAGCTGGCGCTTTTTTTTTTTTTTTTTTTTTTTTTTTTTCCTAATCTCTCCTCTGGGCCCCTACACACGTCTGCATTTTTGCAACCAGCACAGATTTTTTTTTTTTTCTTCCAAGGGTGCAAACTGCGCATTCTAATGAGCCAAAGCTCCTTCCTGCCGCATTGAAAATCCCATCAAATTGCCAGCGCTCCCCCCCCTCCATTTAGAAGAGGGGGAAGGGATCCTAAATTTGTGAAGTAGCATCTTCTCCCTCCTTCCCCTGCCTCCCTCCCCCATCATCCTGCAGCCCTTCCAACCAACAGCTGCACCCAGTGGAGACGGGGCGGGAGGAGGGACAGAACGTGAGCCTTATTCCTTCTTTCCACACAGGCTGAGCTGGCGGGGCGGGGGTTGCTTGCTTTCTTTTTCTGGGAAGCCTACTGCACCCTCCTTTCCCTCCTCAGCCCAGCCAGTGTTTATGTAAGCCTCCCAGAAGCTACACAGGGCCCCCGATGCCTGCCCAGGCCCCAGTTCCTCCCAAGTCCATCCTTCTCACGAGGACGGTCATGAGCCGCTGGCTTCCCTAGACAGCTGCACTGAGATCCGCAAAGGCCCAAAGAATAGGAGAAGCTGGATCAGGAGAGGGTTTGACGTGCAGCTTAGAACGGAGATACAGCAGGCACAGAAGCACCCTGCCTTCTCACACCTACGCTTCTCTGCATCTCCGTCCTCAGAGGCTCAACTCGAGGACAGCCAGTGTGCAGGTGCAGGAGCCCGGAAGATGGTTTTCAACAGTGGCCTACAGCAGTGGTACAGTAAAGAATGGACGGGAGACATCAACACGACATGTTGGATACTATTGTCCCCCCAGCTAGGAAGGTGGACTCTTTACCAGATAAAGGGTCACCTTGGGCTTATCTTGTCCTGCTAAGGACAGTCCATGCCACCTCTAGGATCCTGTGATGTGACTAAGAGCCTGAGCTCAGAGAAGGGGACTCTCCTCTGAGTTCCCAAAGCATTGAAGTATCATTGATCTTGGATGGTGGCCTTAAAGGTACACATATCTCAGGCAGATAAATGGGAAAGCCAGATTGTCTTTCCTTAGGGTCATGTCACAACTTATATCTGTCCTTGATGACCTTCCAGACTTTCAGCAAACCCAGCTCATTCATTCATTCATTCATTCATTCATTGAGAAAGAGTCTCACTGGCTGACCTAGAACTCACTCTACAGACCAGGATAGC